CTGTGAGCAGTGTGGGTTTTGACAGTAATTTAATGACTTCGATTTAGCATGTTCAGTCTTATAAAGCCAATGGAATCATACAGAAATAAGCAGGTTAAGTCAGATTCTTGGTATTTTAGTTGGTTTGTCTTTGTCTACCCTTGCTTTTTTCTGCTCTTGGGGATTATTTTCTTTCACTGGTTCACATTGTTATACATCCATATTTGGCTTTACACTCGTGCATGGACTTGGAAATACCGGGTGCCATTGGTTTATTCATTCATTTTTCTGTTTCTAAGAATTTTGCAAAGAATGATAACGTTTTCTTTGTATTTTGGAAAGTGGAAATTTCAAGAAACTGGCTGCAATTAAAAAGTTGCACTGCTTTGAACAGCAGCAGTACCAACTGTGTAGGACTGCACTCTGCAGGGGCATGGGCATGTACTGAATAGCTATTGTCCTTCATGCAAAACGAAAAGTGGGGGATGTGGTAAACTCTTTGAAGCCTTCACTCCCTCTTCACTTGTTGCCTTTGGAGAAATAGTCTATGGAACCAAGGCTTGGTGAAGGAAACATTTATTCATGCTAAATTTTGATTCAGCCTCAAAGACTTGAAACAACTTTTCAAGGGGACTACAGATTTGATCTTCATTATCCATATTCTTTAGATCCCCAGTGACCAAGTCCAGTTTTTTAAATTTCAAAAAAATAATTGATTCTATGAGGAGATTAACAACAGTTTTCCTTTAAAGGAATTGGAAAACTTAAAGTCAGTTGACTTTTTAGCTGTTCGAAGCACGTTGATACTGTAATTAGAAATATTCAATATGGTGTTGATTCACATATAAGTAGTAATAGGTTATGTATGTGTATGCTGTGTCTCTTGGCATGTGACATGTGCATGCGCATGTGTGTGGGCATTTTGTTAATACCAGCGGCCTTGACCCCGGGCAATATAGTTCTCTAGAGCAGACGGACACTTGTGCATGCGTGTATATGAGCTGCCTTTGTATTCTGGCTTGGTTTGGCTCTTTACCTGGTTTCTGTGTTGTGCTTTATTTTCTGTGAGCGTATTATGTGTCTGATTTTTTCTCTTTGCCGTGAACATAGTTTGTCGGATTTAAAAAAGATAGTGTGTCCTTTGAAATCCATGATGTTTATTTGCCTTTCATCTTTTTACCTCAACACAAACACAGCAGATGCCCTGTCCTAGGCCCCGGAGGCTATAGGTGCTTGCCCGTTATTTCCTTTCCTGGGGGTTGGGGTGGGTGGGTGTTGAGACTTGCAAAGCTGTGACAGGAGTGTCGACTTTTATATGCTTACTGTCTCTTTAAAAAAAGAACTTCTGTCCTTTCACCTGTCTGTTTGCACGTGTTTCTCTTTCTCCTCTTTGCCTTTTCTTGTCCGTGCACCTGGTGCTGTGCAGGAGCCTCAGGAAGAGCACAATGGCTACCCTTCCGAAGCTGAAGCTGATCAGGTGGCAAGTTCTACATGTTCATCTGTTTGTAGCTACAGAGCGTGTATTTGGAAGCCATTTCATACTAGATCTCTAGGCGATAAGCAAAGCTTTCCAAATGCTTTCGCCACTACCGTAGTGCCCTCCTGTCCAAGGTCCGTAGATCCCATTATGACATTATTTGCAAGAATTGGTTTATCCAACATTTTGTCAAGCAGAAACCTGTTCCTCTGTGTTCCTGGGCATTCCAAGAAAGGTTTATTGATGAGGTTAGCCCGCCTCCTCCCATGACTGGGTTCTGAAGCACCTTTAAAAGACTTAGAGGCACAGGTGCCCGGGGACCCCTAGAGGTGAGGACTTGGCTTTTTTCACATTTGCGTGCTCCGTGCCCAGCACCATACCTGGTGGCTGGTAGGTTTTTGTGGAATGAGTCCCTGTATTTCATATTTATTCATCAGAAGGAAAAGATCACCAAGTACTCCTTGAGTGCTTCGTCTTTCCTCAGTACCGCTAGACCCTCTGGAGTCTTTTAAAGCTGCAGAACATTCCCCCAAGCTTGTGTAGAAACTCCAGGTGTGACACTGCTGGGGGAAGAGCCCCAGAGAAGGCTGGCAGGAGGCTTTGGCCCAGCCCCATCCTCCACTGGGGACCCTGGAAGCACTTTGATGACCCGATTTGGAAGCCCCTGCCCTTGGCATGTGGTCGACACAGAAACTGTCCATTCTACCGCCAAGGGTCGGGATGAGGGGCAAAGCCATGGAGAAAACAGGGCCATCCTGGTGGGCTGGGGCCCTCGGGCACAGACCCAGGCAGCTGGAGGGCCTTCAGCTTGGCCCTCCATGGTCCCCGGAACAGGGTTTAGATGGGAGCAGTTGAGAGCTGTCCTCAAGTGGACAACACTCAGAAGCCAAGAGGAGTGAGCGTGCTCACCTGATCAAACTCGTCCACACAGACACTCCATTCTCTGATTGTGCAGGACGTGGTTGGATAAATCAAGTGTCAAATCATGTCCCATGCAACTTGGTGGTTGCAGTCAAAGCCTGAGTCCCCTCTCCTAACAGCAGCTTTACGAGGGAAATGTGCAATGCCCACAAAACAGTGAGCCTTCAAAAACTGTTCTCTTGAATTCCTATGCTAAAGCTAAATATTTCCTGTGCAAAACAAACCTTTATGGGGAAAAGCAAAACAATGGAATCATTTCTTTGTTTTATCTGATAGTTGCTTTTTCGTCGCTTAAAAAGCATATCTCAGATTTAATTATTACCAGTGGAAGTTTGTCTCACCACATTTGCCCCTCATTCAGGTAAATGCACAGGTGTTTCAGGCCAAATTTAACAGGACTCTCAGAAGAGGAGAGGAATGTTTAGCTTCAACCTTTATCTTGAGAGCTGTGCGCACCTCAGAAGACTCCCAGTCACGCCCTCTCCCATCTACAGCCTTTTATCCACGAGTCCTGGGTTGCGGACTTTAAAGCGCTTGATGTGGCTGGAAGTGGATCTGTTTCCTCCCACCACTTCCAGATTCAGCTGATCAGCTTATGTTAGTAAATAGATGCCAAAAGAACCTGTTCCTGTTTATTTTCAAGTGCCAATTGAGGAATTAAAGTTTATGTAATATATATGATTATATTTAGCCCTTAAAATAAACTCTATTAATGTCACATTTGAAGTAATTTAAAACCTGGATATTAAGGTAGCATTTTTGCTTTGTAACTAACTATACCATAGTTAGTCACTCGTTTGAGTAATAAAGCAGACTTTCAAACTAAGACTTTTATGAAGATTGGTGACATTTTTAGTGTTTCTCAAACTGGACATTTAAAAGTATAGCTATTGGTTTATACTTTATTGTGTAAAAGTATATTTCCAAATCAGATGTGAGTATAAAAATGGATCCTCAATTGCTTCTCCATGTCCCCTTTAGCAGCTCTCTTCCCACAAATTTTGGGTGAAGAGAGTCAGTGTGGCCTAAAAAATTTAAATGAGTAGAATTGCTTGGAGGTAGCCCTAAATCCTAATCTCTGTTCTTTCAAGGATGCATCTGGAGGAGGGGATGGAGGGCACCATCTGGCGTCCTCCCTGTAAACAGACTGACCCTGACCACCGTTGAGCATTGAATTTGCTCTTTATATTTTGACTTTCCCCCTCTATTTTATTAAATTGGATTAAACTGCTCTCTAGTGTTTTTTAAATTGACCTCTGAATCCTGTTAATAAAACATCAAAATACTGTTATAACTGAAAAACAACTATTTCGAATTTTTGATAATTTAGACTAGAGTTAGAAAAGATATCCATTTTTAATGTTTTGTTTCACCAAGTTATGCTGAAAGTTTAGCCTTGTCCATGCTGTCACCAAACACCCGTGGCCTCCCGGCATCAACAGGTATTTTCTGGAGAAAACTGCATGCTCTGGCGCCCTCTTGCGGATTCGGTGTGCATAACACTAAAGACTTGTGTCACTAAAAATGACCAATTTGTTTTCTTTAACTCAGCATTTCCCAAACTTTTTTCTTTTAAAGACTTATTTATATCCCTTGGGAATTTAATGCTCTGTGAAACACAGCTTGGAAATTGCTGGGCTTTTGAACACCTCTTATTTGTGACACATCACATTGGAGATGCTAGGGAGAAAGTGACCAATTTCTGTGGCAACATCTCATGGGGCTGTAATACCTTAGAAGAGGCCTCGAATTCAGACTCTCTTCCCTGGAGATGTAGGCACCATTCCTCAGCTCCCCTGAGTTATCAGTACTATCCAACCAAGCTCAGAAGAGATCGACCAGTGAGCTGCAGCACCAATCTGGACATTTAGAAATGTGCGCATGTAGCTTCCTGGCCATCCCAGACATCCTGTTACCAATATCATATTGGCCAGGAAAGCTAACCACTCACTAGCAACTTGCAGGGTGAACTAGTTGGCTGGGAGGAGCTTGATCACCCCACCTGCTGCGCTGTAGTGGTTGAAATACTGCTGTCTGCCAGGTGAGGGCGCACTCTCACAGCCTGGGTTGGATGCACCCTGACGCAGCCCTTGCCAAGTCTTTGCTCCTCCGCTGTGTGCATATGTAGCACACAGGGCTGAAGTACAAAAGTCTAGGACCTTCCTTAGTAATGTTACTGCCCCCTCCCTAGCTACTTTTCATTAGACTTCAGGGATGCCCACATTACCTCATAAGCTGGCCCGTTTCTACAGTTAGCTAAGCACCTACGCCACATGTTGATTTGATTTGTGTTAGTTTTCCGCTTAGAAGGTAACCTTTTTCTGCCCTTGTTTCCAGATTCGGGAGACACCTCCTAATAGCTATCTGTGTAATGATTATAGTATGTGTCATGTCAAGCCATTTCTGTATTAATGCTTTCTAACTGTGAACTTTAAATATGTGTAACAATTTGCTAGAACATTCAGCATGGTGTCCTGTGATGCTGAGCTTTGAGATTGTCTTGTCAGGGGAGGGGCCTATATTTTGCACACTGCTGTAGCTTTGTAGCAAGAGCACAGGGCCCCCCCCTTTCCCCAGGTAGACAGACAGAAGTGAGTCTTACTCCTGTTTGTTTTCTTGCCAGGCTCTGAGGGATGGAAATAAGCTGGCACAGATGGAAGAAGCGCCACTTGTTCCAGGAGAATCAATCAAGGCCATTGGTAAGTGTAACAAGTTCCCATGGCTGGTGGGGACCTGGAAAATGAACAGCACTTTATTTGCAAGCACAGGTGACGTGTGTGCTGGAGACCAGCCCGACCAGTTTAATCAGGGCGCAAATGGACTTGGTCTGTTTAGTCTTACTAATGTCATCCTAAAAGCTCGAAGCTATGGAGGATCACTTTACGCTCCAAATGAGTATTCTGTGGCGTTACCAGCAGGACCCAACTTCCCGACAAACTGAAAGTGATAAGACACTTGGAACCCTTCACTAGAAAGGAAGTGTACCCAGTGGTGATCCACACCACATTTTAATGACAGTTCTGAGAATTTGACAAAGGAATTTTAGTGGATTTTAAGCTTGTTAGTGCAAGAAGAGGGCATGTGTTCTCACCCTGCATTGGGGGGTCATGGCCTGGCGGCCAGCAGCCTCCCTGGGCCAGGTGTTTGTTCTAGCAGGTAGACCACCTGGGGGTGGTGGGCAGCTTCCCGCAGCCTTTTCGTTTCACAGTTGCCAGGCTCAGTGGCCCGGTTTGGCCGGCTAGGCCGAGTGTCGCCGCCGTCCCTCCTGGCTCTCCCACAGATGTGGCTCGGTCTCCGCGGACAGGCCTCGGCGTCGGGGACGCTGGCGTAGCTGGGCTCACCTCCTGGCCTCCCAGCACGTCTCCCACCGACAGTCCCGGTCTGTGTTCCCCGCTTCGCCCCACTTGGGTGTGGAGCTCTGACTTTGGCATCTGGAACTTCATTCACTCCTGGTGGCCCTCTGGCCTCTCTGGCCCTTCCCCGGGGTTTCTAGTCCTCCTCTGCTGCTTTCAGAATGAGCTGTTGCCATTGCAGGGCTGAGTATGCCACGCCTCTGTAGCCGCCCGCCCGGCGGCAGGCTGCACAGACTTCATGCATACGACGGGAAGAGTACAGACGCATCACCCACCGGGAACGGCATCGTCCCGGTCAGGGTAGTGAACATATCTGTCACCTCCCAGAAGTTTCCTCGTGCCCCTTCACAGTCCCTGTCCGCCTGTGCCTCCTGCCCCACCCCAAGCACTAGAGACTAGTTGATGTGTTCTAGAAAGGTAATTGCTGGACATGTTCTTTTTTGGCAAGCTGCTTCCTCTCGGCGTGTGTGGTGTTGATGTCCCTACACTGTCGCGTGGGCCCTCAGCCCCCGCCCTTGGGCGGCTGCACCATTTGCTTATGTGTTCACCTGTTGACAGCTGTCTCGTTGCTTCAGTTTAATTAATGGGTTTCTGAGGATGATTAATTTATCATTCAGGAAAAATGTTAACCACCTGAACAAATGACAGTTGTAACTTATTATGGGGCCCTTTACTTAAAACCTCATTAAGTAGCAAATCAGAATTTTGTTTTAAAAAACGGGATTTTATTAGAAGACGATCCATCTGTGTCTGTATTTTTAAAGTACTAGCACATTTAAAGTTCCTAGAAAACTCGAATCATGATATGTCTATCTGGAGATGGGGTTAGGGCCGATGCCGCGTGTGTGTGCACGGCAGTAGCACCCGGGTTTGTCTTGCAGTGAAGGACGTCATGTACATCTGCCCGTTCACGGGCGCCACGAGCGGGACGCTGACGGTGTCAGACTTCAAGATGTACTTCAAAAATGTAGAGAGGGTGAGTGCTCAAGATCGTTTTGTGCTTCTAAGACCACTTCAGAGGGTAAACCAATGTGTTTTGACCTAGTGAAGACTTAGTGTCTGTAAGCTGTGTTGGCTGCCACTGGTGCGTGTGTATCTGAATTTTCAACCCTAGGATCCGCATTTCATCCTGAACGTTCCCCTTGGAGTGATCAGCAGAGTTGAGAAGATCGGGGCGCAGAGCCACGGAGACAATTCCTGTGGCATAGAGATCGTGTGCAAGGTACGTCCAGACACAAGTGGAGCAGAGCGGGTGGCGGGATCCGAGTCTTTCTGATGCCTTCCTCTGGTCTCCGAACTCAGAGGAACTGGTACCGCAGCCGACTCAAATGTTTTCAGGACAGATGTGTGTCAAGCAGTACCCGCCATTGCGTATGCCCCTGAAGGAAAGTGCTTCTCTCTCGCGGCGGTGTGCTGATAGACATGGAGCTCTGGCCTAAGCACCAGTAGGATTTGTAACATTTCAGAGAAATCAAGCGCAAAGCAGAGATCAATATTTTTTCCAGTTTGTCATTTTAAGATTACTTTTTTTTAGAACAGTGGATGGTCATAGACTTTGAAAGGGCAGCAGTATTGGTAAATTCTGTGGTTAAAAACTCGGCGAAGCTTCTTGTCGGTTCTGGAATGTCCAACTGAGCCACCCTTATTTTCGGTGTGTGCCCGTCTTCCAGTTAAGTAGAAGGGATGACCAGCCTTGAGGGGAGCACCTTAACTGACCTCTCTTCATCCCTCTGACATTACCCTGTGGAATCCAGCTTAATGACAAAGTACCGAGAAAGGGATCCACCTGCAGAATCATCAGGGTCCTTTCCAAAATTGGGGTGTGCATTCCTGCCATGTGTTTGCTGTGGTCACATCCCTGAGGATAGCTCCCCAGGTGGCCCTGATACTGCAATTGAACCCACTTTTCTCATAGAACCCTTTACTAGTCCAGGTCACGAATCTGTTGGCCGGCTAGGCCCCATGAGCACTGCTTGGCGGTTCTCCCCCCTGGAAATGCTTGTGTCCTTCTCAGGTTGGGCTGCGCTCGTGGAGCAGGCGAAGCAGCTGCAGAGTATGCTTTCTGTGGAGGGTAGCTTGCCTGGCTCTGCGGCTTGGGAGCATGTAGTTCCCCTGTCAAAGTTTTGGCACGGTCTGTAGGCTGGAGGGAACCTCCCTTCCTGCCCCCATGGACCCAGCAGCCACCTGCCCGCCTCCTTGCCCTCCCAGTCTCTGGAGTCGCTCACACTTGCCCCACTCACTGTCCCCAGCCAGCATCTTTACACATGCCCTTCCTTCGCTTGTAACAGTTTGCGCCAGAGCAATCCTACGTGCAAATCAGCCTACCAGCATGATGCACGTGTGAGCAGTGTGGCTCAGAGCTGGGCACACTGGAAGTCATGCTGCTCAGGTGGCTGTCCTGTGGCTGACTTAGTTAAGATAGTAAAAGAAAAAAAATCAGTTGTTCAGTGAGATTCTCCGTAACAGCAGCTTGGGAGGGTCAGTGCTACCTGCAAGAGCAGTCAGCCAGGGTGTCCTGGAGCCAAGGACCAGCTTTGATCTTGGCAGAATTTGTGAGCCCACAGCTTTCTGGTCAACCTGGTGCAACTCTGTCATCTGTTTTTCTTTCTCTGCGTGGAAGAGCTCACCTTCCTGGGGTCGGGCCTCACACTTCTGCTGCTGCTTGAAGTCATCACCAGTGAGCTGTTCAGGGATTTTCACACCATGTCCAGCAGTTTTGTAGGGGTGGCAAAGACACATTTCTGGTGTGTTCTACACAAAGGAACCTGATGGAGGGACTGAGGTCCAGTCCCAAGCAGCGAGCTGTTTTAGGAGAATCCCCCTCCTGCCACTGGTGTCAGCGAGGGTGATCGGAAGGGCCCAGGAGTGGGGCTCGCTTGCAGTTTTCTCACCTGCTACCGAAGGGTCTTTGCCCAGTGGCTTCCGAGGCCTGTCCTCAGCAGGACAATACCTAAGCATTTTGTGGCACTGAACCACTCGGGCACCGCCATTCTTGTCACCATCAACTGCTTTTGTGTCAGTAGCAAGAACCTGCTTTTTCTTTACAATCCTGGATTTAATGCTAAATATTTCCTCTCGTACACGGTCTCTCTGCAACATATGGCGCACTGGGGATCTCTGGCAGTTCCTCTAGGTAGGATGGGTTTTGGCTGTGGGGCTTCCCCTTCTTAGGCACTTTGGCCTTGGGGTTCCCCTTCTTAACCTGGCTGCCAGCATCAGCGTTCTTGGCTTTAGGATTCTTCTCTTGAGTAGCCACATCTCATCTTTCTCGCCTGCGGTCTCGCAAGATGGGAAGGAGCACTTACTAAGCTATTTTTATCGTGGGGATTAACATTTGTTAATAGCTGCTTTAAATTGTTTTCCAGCCTACAACGACTAGGGCTGTGCTCCCAGCCCTCAGCTCATCCCTGAGAGCCTGGTGAGGTGTGGGGTTTGGTTTTTAAATAGCTGATACCCAACTCAAAAGGTACAAAAGTTGTGTGGGGGGGAGCGTCAGGCTCCTTCCACCTAACACCCAGCCATGCTGCTCCACTCCCTGCGGGCCCCCGCTGTTCCTGACTTCCACATGCGATTGTACGTGTAGTCTGGAAATGTGAGCAGAAGCATACGACACCTGCTGTCTGACCCGTTCGTTTCCCCTTAATAGTATGCCTTGGGGTTCTTTGAGCTCTCTACATGAAGAGCTGCTGCTTGTTTGCAGCAGCTCCTTAGTACCCCTGAGCTGTGCTGCACTGTAATTAGCCATCCCCGATCAATGGACATTTAGCTTGTCTGTTCTTGTGCTGTATAAATATCACGGCAATAACTTCTGATTAAAGCTGTTGCTTTAATGTTCATGGTCATATTTATTCTCACATTTCTTCTAACAAATAGCACAGGAACATAGGTTTAAAAAAGGTCTGGGGGCAGAGGGCATGGATCAAGCCAGGCCAGGGAAGGAAGCACACGTCAGAGCCCCCTGACTAGGTGGCTCCTCCCCGCTTGACTTGCAGGGGTGTGTGGGGCCATGTTAAGAACTTGTGATCTTGGTAAGCAGCATTCTGAGTGCTGTCACGAAGTCACTGCGGGCCGTGGTCTCCATGTGACAGAGCCCTTGCCCCGAGGACAGGGAGAAACGTCGTGTTCCGGTGGGCTTCGAGTCCCATAGTTGCTTCACACTCACAGCTCATTCTGTGGCCAGCCTGCAGCCAGTGAGTGCGCACGACCTGCCGGCACGTCTTTGATGCACTAACCTTATTCTTGGTTCCATCTGATGAGTTTTCTCCCCAACAAGTCCCCTTGGCTTCAGTTTCCTTGATTTTATTTTATTTTTTTTGTTTTCTTTTTGAAGTTTTTAATTAGAATTATTACAACTGACAGTTTAGATACAGAATACAAGGAAATGGAGGAATCAAAGAGTGATTTCAGGGTAGAAGGCCAGGCTGGAGAAAAAAGTCATTTGCTTGGATTTTTTTTTTTTTAAAATCAAGAAATGTGGCTTGAGAAAATCTAGGATCCTGACAACACAAAGTATAAAGATCAGATGTTTTGTTTGAGGTGATTTCGTTCATTGCCATATGTTAGTTGGAGCAAGACAAGAGTGTAACATGAGAAATGAATAAAAATATTTACCTGTTTATATCGTGATAACTGGTCCACACTCAATGCGTGTTGAATAAATGACTTTGATGATTGTTTGACAGGATATGAGGAACTTGAGACTGGCTTATAAACAGGAAGAACAGAGTAAACTGGGGATATTTGAAAATCTCAGCAAACACGCATTTCCTCTTTCCACTGGGCAGGTAAATACACCGAAATAAGCCTCTTTTGCATGCGTTTGTGGAAAATTTCATGTTTAATTCTTTTTTGTAACTTCTGTGTAATGATGAAGAAAAGCTGCCAGTTTGTTGTTTCAAAATTTACAGATTAAAATGAGAGTCTTGGGCCTCCCCGGTGGCGCAGCGGTTGAGCGCTGGGTTGCGAGGCTGCCCGCGGCCTCTGCGGCGCCGGTTCGATCCCCGGCTGCTCCCCGGCCACGGGAGGAGGGTCCCACATGGCGCGCAGACCTCTCCTGCCGCCCGCTGCTCCCCTCAGCAGTGTACTTCGGTCCTTCTACCTGCTCTGCTCCCCGCTCTGGCTCTGGTGAATTCTCTCCCCCTCCCGCGCTTCTGACTGTACCCAGTGCATGTATAAACAAACAAAAAAAAAAAAACAAAGAAAGAAAGAAAGAAAGAAAACATGCCTCTATATAAAAAAAAAAAAAAAACCTAAAAAATAAATAAATAAATAAATAAAATAAAATGAGAGTCTTAATATATTCAGCTTGCCACTGGGTGACAAGCTTCAATGTTGGGTACATGATTTAGAGAAGAAATGGTGATGTGTATTTTGTGGTGTTTTTTTTTTTTTCTTTATATCCAGACACTATTTGCATTCAACTATAAAGAAAAATTTCCAATTAATGGATGGAAAGTTTATGATCCAGTATCTGAATATAAGAGACAGGTAAAGTATGTTGCTCATCAAACTGAAAATAATAGGTTGAACATCTTTTTCTTTTGTAAAAGGTTAGAAATGTAGTGGAGAAGAAACCTTTTAGAAGATGGTGTATGTAGGTATGATCCACCCAGCTGGCAGGCTCTTCACTTGTGCATGCCTCTTTCCTCCAGACCAGACCCTTGCTACTGTTTGTCCCGATGTCAAGTGGGATGTGAAGACAGGGTTTAGAAGTGAGCCAGCCAGATAGTTTTTATAAGCTGTTCCGGTAACGAGTTGATGAGTAAGGATTAAGACGAGTGGTCTGAATTAGGGGTCAAATGCATGTTGCGGCCACATCGGCCTGACGGGAACTCCTATACCTCGGCACTCCTTGGTGTGTCGTCTGAAGATAGACCCACATGATATTTTCATGACATTTGAACTTTGTCCCCACCTTATATTTGGTATGGTAATTTATATACTTATTTTAGACACTTGTAAGAAGTTTGTGTCACTAAAGAATCTTCATGAGTGTTTTCAAAAATAACATTATGCTCATTCTTGAGAGAAAACACACAAGAGGTGGGACTTGAGAGCTGGTATGTAGTTTTCATTTTATAGCATGTTTGAAAATCTTTGTGCTTCATTAGGTTTTTAAAAATAGGTCAATATGGCTTATGTTAGATGAGTGTATATTTAAACAGGTAGCAGTGAATAACGTGCTATATGTGGAGTTTAGTAGAAACCAAGACTTGGATGTGGTTCGTGGTTAGTACTTGTTGAACGTGTAAAGGCATGCTTTGCCCCTTGTTTCTTCTCCCCTGTAGGGCCTGCCAAATGAGAGCTGGAAAATATCTAGAGTAAACAGCAATTATGAGCTGTGCGACACCTATCCTGCCATCATTGTTGTGCCAACTAGTGTAAAAGATGATGACCTTTCAAAAGTGGCAGCCTTCCGAGCAAAAGGCAGAATCCCTGTGAGTAATAAGTGCTGTCATTTAGACATGAATGAACCCTGCTTTAGATCTAATATGGAAAGAAGCAAAACGGGAAAAGCCTAGTGAGTAAAAGGCTGAGTAGAAAAATAAGCCTGACAACCTGAACATAGCTTTGCTTTTCAAGAACTACCTGATGATGTGAGAATTCTGTCTGCTCCGCCTCACCTTGCTAAGTACTGGGGGGCTTCTGGTAGCTGGGAACTGTAGTAGAGGAACTGGGGGCCACGAGATGGTGCGGCCTGCTGTCACTGCCTCTGCCTTAACAGTTAACATTGCTGGGTTCCCCAAATCCTCCTGGAGAAACTACCCTGTGTCTCAGATGCAGAGTGGAATGCCACAGCTGCACAGGGGGGACCCATTACAAAAATAAACATAGCCAGCAAGGCGGGGGTTGTGCTTAACAGCTTTATTGAGGTTTCAGTGATATATCAAAACCCCCTCATGTGTTTAATGCATAGAATTTGACAAGTGTGGACATATGCACACACCCGTGGTTCCATCTGCATCACCAGGGGGGAGGGAGAGGACACACACACTTTTGAGCCCAGAACATGCAGTCCTTGCTGCCTGTGTCATTGTCGAGATACTAAGATGTCTTTAAACCAGGAGACAAAATAAAAGTAGTCAGTCCAATAGGAATGGGGCTTAATGTTAATAATAGTTTGACTTAGTTTCTGCATTTCTTAGACTCATCAAATTTTGGAGGTAGAAGGGTTGGCCTGATGCTGATTGGCCTGGCCCTCTTGCCTTGGAGAAAAACATGCAGAAGAAGCTGTGTTTGTGAAGAGACATTTACTAGCTCGTGCACATACCGTTTTCAGAACCCTACTAATATGTGTTGCTTACAAACACTAGGTGTTGTCATGGATTCATCCAGAAAGTCAGGCGACCATTACCCGCTGCAGCCAGCCACTGGTGGGCCCCAATGATAAACGCTGCAAAGAAGATGAAAAATATTTGCAGATGATAATGGACGCCAATGCGCAGTCACACAAGCTCACTGTCTTTGATGCCCGCCAGAACAGCGTCGCTGACACCAACAAGGTAAGTTCCCCACTGTGTTGTGGAAGTGGCGTAGTGGCTTCAGGGCCTGGAATCTTCTGCAGGTTGAATCCCCTGTCCAGTTCCTCCCTGCCCGAAGCTGGGACCCTATGAGGGAGCCCAGCGCTCCCCGGTGTGTGACTGTGCACCAGGCAGCATCCCACGTGGGCTAGGGTCTCATCCCTCTCGAGGCTTCCTCACAATCTGTGCACTGGATAAATTAAGCAAAAACCCAGAGAGAGATTATTACGGAGCAACCTGGGCAGACAGCTGACGAGCCGCAAATAGCTCTTCTGAAATGAGGGGAACCGGGTCTGTCCGTCAGCTGGTTGCACCTGAGGAGTGTTTAGCTGTCTCTCCCATGAGGGTAGGGGATGGGGTTGGCACCACGCCTCTATCCCATTGTTCTTGGGGGGCCTTGGGAGCAGGTGGATGACAGTGTCCCATCACTGGCTTATCTCTGAAACACTGCTTTGTCCTCCTAGACAGATCTGGTCAGCCAGTTCTTGCCTTCCAGAACTTTCTGAAGCAACTCCAACCCCCTCCCCCACCCCCCTACCCTCCGCATTCCTGCCTGGGTAGAGTAGAAACCCTCACCACCCACTCCCCCTTCTCCTGTGTTCTGTGTCCTAGCACAGAGAAGGCACTCTTACTTTCTTCCAGAACCCCATGTTCTGATTGGCATTGGTCTCAGCTGCATCAGTTTCTAGGCAACCAGTCACTCTAAAGCTTGTTCTACTGGTTGATACCAACTCTGAGCTCGCGCTTGCTCTGTGCTGAAGTGCTTGGTAGGCAGATGGTCCAGCTGCACCCCCAGGCCCTGCTTCCTGCCCCTGAGCACTCAGCAGATCCTGTGTCCTCCCGTCCTTCTCCTGACTTTGTACCTGGCGGGTGGCTGGTGAGGTAACAACAGTGCCGAGTATCTTTGGCTGGGGTGGGGGTGGGGGGCAGGCATCAAGCTTTGTGTGGATTAGCTTTCATTCCAGCCACTTAGTTAGGGAGCAGTTAATCCCCATGTACCCTCTGATATTTTTATGGGTGAGAAAGCTGAGGGGCAGAGAGTGGGCGAGGCCCCTATGGCTACTTGGGTGGCAGAGCCAGGATTATGTATGCCCTGTCCCTGGGCCCTCGCTGGCTATGTGGGCAGTTGCCACCTGAGTCAGCAGTGTCCTCAGGGGCTGCCCAGGTTGCTTTTTTAGGAACGAAACTATGCCATGAGGGCAGGGTAGGGCGCTCCACTGTCCACAGTTGGTGTTTAGAAAGTGTTTCACTGGCAGTGAAGTGTCTCATAGTTCCGTGGCATGACTCAAAGGCTAAGCTGGTGAGCAAATGTACAGAATTCTGGGCTTTTGCTGTCATCCTCTGCTACATACACTTGATCAGATTCTCAGCTCCTGCACTGACCCCCAGGTTGCCAGGCTTCCAAGCACACTGGCTCTGGGCCGCCCTGCAGTGGCCTCCCTCTGACCCCTCCCTCGGCGCTGCTGTGCGCCTCGGCCTCCGCCAGCTCCCAGGCTTGCTCCCCAGCTTGTCCATGCCCTGCCCGGGGCCTGCTGCCCCGCCTCTCTTTCTTGGGCCGTCCCAGCCCGTGTCCTGCCAACACCTTGGCTCCTTACCCTTAGGCACCTCTGCCTGGCCCAGCTCTCCTGCCCACTCCCTGGGCTGTGGGGTTCCAAGAGAACAAAAGGCCACCCCTGCTCCAGCTTGAGAGCTTCCCCCCAGTCTCCTCAGGGGCCACTTCGGCCCCTTTATAAAGACTGAGTGTCCAGGTCCCTGCCGCCCCCATGGCTCCAGGCCTGCCAGTGTGCCCCCCACTGTGTGCTCCCCACTGCATGTGCCCCTCTCTTTACCCACCGGCCCCACCAGACTATGAGTGCCTTGAGGACCAGGTCTCCCCTCGTTCCTCACCGCTGCCCCAGTATTTAGCTCAGAGCATTCATAACCACTGAGTAAATGGTAGAAGAGTAAAGGAAAGTATGGGCTTTGGTTTCACTGATATGTGAATATCACCTCAATTTCAAAAAGCCCAGGAGGGGATGGTGGTCACACCACTGTCCAGGAGCTAGCTCCGCGGGGCTGTCCCCAAGGTGGCCATGGGACCCCGGGCTTTTGGCCAGAGAGGTCCTGACTCAGTAGTTCCCTGGTGCTCAGTGACCAGTGGCCCAGAAACAAGGCTCCTCCCCAAGGGCATTCTGAGGAAGCACAACCCTGCAAATGCCCTGACTTCCAGCCTCCAGAACCCTGAGAAGACATTCCCGTCGGTAGGAGCCCCTCGGCCTGGGTGCTGTGTTCCAGTGGCCACAGGAGAGGCAGCCAAGGGTGCAGGAGGCTTGTAAACAGCCATGTGGCTTGCTGCTTTCATGGTCTCGGGTGACACTGGAGCGAAGAGTTAACTCAGACGAGGCCACGCCGATCTTGTGTCTTCGGCAGGCGAAGGGTGGAGGATATGAAAGTGAGAGTGCGTACCCAAACGCGGAGCTGGTCTTCTTGGAGATCCACAACATTCATGTGATGCGGGAGTCTCTGCGCAAACTGAAGGAGATCGTGTACCCGTCCATCGACGAGGCCCGGTGGCTGTCCAACGTGGACGCCACGCACTGGCTGGAATACATAAGGGTAAGGGGCAGCCCGCATGGGCCTTCGGGTGAGACCTCTGTGCGCCCAGAGCTGTCCGTCATGTGTCTCTCAGCACGTCTCTGTGGACTCAGTAGGTGGCCTCGGGACTGGGCTCCAGGTTGGGGGGCGGCTTTTGTGACAATAAAAAGGGACAGCGGTGGCCGGAGGCAGGTTGTAACACTGTTTTCCGGGGCATTCGCAAAGGGCCCTGTTTCCTGCCATCGTTTTTTGAATGAAAGCTTCCCCCTGCGCTGCTCACGTGTCCTAGAGAGTCAATCACATACTCGTTTGGCTAATTGACCAGAACTTCCAGCCCCCTCCCCCAAGGCTTTTGTGCTGGAGTAGAAGTGAGATGTGGCCTGGCCTCACATGCCTTTTAGATGCTTCTCGCTGGTGCGGTGAGGATAGCTGACAAGATAGAGTCCAGGAAGAGCTCGGTGGTGGTGCACTGCAGCGACGGCTGGGACCGCACAGCCCAGCTGACGTCCCTGGCCATGCTCATGCTGGACAGCTACTACCGCACCATTCAAGGCTTCGAGGTGCTCATAGAAAAGGAGTGGATCAGCTTTGGACATAGGTTCGCTCTGGTAAGTGGGAGCAGCGGGTGCGTACTTGACTGTTTTGCTCTACCATCTGCACGTGCCTGTCACACACGACACGGACACACGCGTGCCTGGGCTTTCTGCTCTGCATAAGCTCTCTACGCCATACTAATGCCATGGGCCACGGCACCGCGCATTCCTGGTGGGCCATTCCCCTCTGTATTTTTTTGTGTAAGGGTGCCTTTTAAAAAACACTGCAAAATTCCTGTAACAGTCACCCATCTGAAGCGTGTAGTTCAGTGGCATTGAGTGCATTCACAATGACGTGCAGCCTCCACCCCCTCTGTCCAGCGCCAGGACATTTTCATCAGTCTGAAAGGAAACCCCATACCATGGCAGTCACCCCCTGTTCTTCCCTCCCTGGCAACCACTAATCTGCTTTTCAGCTCTGAATCTGCCTGCTCTGGGTGCCTCAGGTAAGTGGAGGCGTGTGTTTGTCTTTCTGGGACTGGCTTCTCTCAGTCGGCACGAAGTTGTCCAGGCGCCTCACGGAGCAGCATGTGTCAGCGTCTCGTGGCCGATAGTCTTCCAGTGTGTGTATTTTGTTAGTGGCGTGTCCATCAGGAGGTGAATGGATCTTTTCCGCTCTGCGAATGTTGTGACTAGCGCTGCTGTGAACACCAGTGTGCAGGCTTGGCCATGCAGGCTGCACAGACGGGGCTTACCCAGAAATTTGTCTCACAGTTCTAGAGCCTGGACATCCAAGATCAAGACTGTGGCAGGTTGGTTTCTCCTGAGGCCTCTCTCCTTGGCTTGATGACAGCCACCTTCTCCCCTTCTCACGTGGCATGTGGTGTCTGTCCCATTTCCTCTTCTCATGATGTCCCAATTTCTTCTTCACCGAGACCCACCCCAATGGCCTCATTTTAACATAATTGCTTCTTTCAAAGGCCCTCTGTCCAGGCAGTCACATCCTGCCATACCGAGGGTCAAGGTCAATGGTTGAAGTTTGGTGGACACAGTTCCACCTGTAACAGCCTGATTTCACAAACGGGCATAAACCCAGGAGTGGGATCACTGGGTCATCGGGTGGGGCATTCTGGGTTACTGTTTTCCCCATTCTGTCTTCCCCTAAGTGGCAGCCACTTTCAGGTGAGTCGGACCATTGAATGGTTGGGGTTTGATCTGAATTGTGTACGGAATCGAAATAGCCCGATGTGTGCTTGGCCCCAGCATGGGAGGCAGGACGGTGAGCAGAGGACTCCAGTGGACAGGTGCCGCCTCTCTGCCTTGGTGTCCCTCCTCTGAAGTCAGGTGTGTGGGGGCCTGGGTTTCCATACCAGGTTCCCGGCTGGCACCTGCCCTGCCCCATGCTGTTTCTGTTTCAAACCTCATTGTGAGCCCCTTTGTTGAGTCTGCCCCCAGCAGGGCTGGGCCCTGGGGAGCAGAGAGTGGCATCTTCCGCGTGTTTGCCCCCTATCAGCTCTGAACACTCAGAACCCGTTCGCTCCCTGTCTCCTCCCCAAACTGCGTTTTGGGGAGGGAAAGCTGGCAGGGCCTTTTACCAGAGGTGCGGGGGATAAGGCCACGTGGAGATCTAGGATGGTGGCAGCCAGTGTGCCAGCACACCTACAGTGCCCTGCTCCCATGCCCACTTGCTAACACCGGTGCTTCCCAAGGCCATATGGTCACAAGCTTTATACTGGCACCACTGTGTTTCCCACAGTCGTGCAAGACTCACCTGGTTTAACCTGCGGCACCCCGTGAGACAGGCGCTGTCATTGACACAGGCGGAAACTGAGGTTTCAAGAGTGTAAGTTACCAGCCTCAAGTCACCCAGCTAGTTAGGGTGGAGCCAGCGTGTAACCAGCAGCTTCCAGCTGCCCACCTGCTGGGCTCTGCCCCTTTTCCCTTGAGCTTCTATGGATGAGCCTGCTGAGCACCTGCTGAGGCTGGTGCCCGGCCTTGCTGGCCTGCTCCATCAGCTGCCTCATGGGCTGTTTTTTAACCCTTCCTGCCCCCGCTTCCTTCTCCCCTAGGTCATTCCCACTGGTCAAGAACGTGTTATTTATCCCACCCTAAAAAAATCAATCCTCTTGACCTGCCTTCCCCCTCTGGCCTTCAGCCCCAGGTATCTGTTCCTCTCCACGGCAGCGCTCCTTGATGCTGTTATATGTTCTCACTGTCGCCATTTACCTTCTGGTCAGTCTTGAACCCATTTCAGCCAGACTTCCTCCTCACAGCCCCGCCTGTCCCCAGAACTGCTCTTGTCACGTTGTCTCCGATGATTACCACACTGTCAGGTCCTCTTTTTGGTCTGAACAATGAGGCCTCATCTTACCTCCCTCACCTTGCCTCGTGCCCCGAACCTCAGCTGTGCCCATCCGCTGCTAGTGCCCTGGGGTTCCTTGCCGTGTCCCCACTGCCCCTAATGGACTCTGTGTCCACCCCAGAAGCAAGCATCTCTCTGTCCCTTCAGTTTATCTCAACTGGAACCACCTCCATGATGGTGACGTGTGTGACTTTCCGTCCTCGTCCCCCCTTAGCCCCACCCTAGGACGACCTGCTTTGTCCTTTGTGGCCCAGCTCAGACTTGGAGGCTCTTAGGGCATTTTATCACCCTCATCATCTACCAGTTTCTCTCCCATGGCCAGACCAAAGGAATCACTCACAGGGCACTCATCCCTCTCGGTGCCCCGGGTGCCTCACCAAGGCCTGGCTTGCACTTGACACCATGCAGACGCCTGGACTCCGAGGGCCAGGCAGGATGCCTCACGCGCACTGTAGGAATCACTAAGTGGTTATTAGCAGAAAGAGCGAACCGTAAATTGTGAGCTGTCCGTGCAGATTCATTCCCTGCGTGCCCTAGTAGCGAAGCGTGGGGTCTGCGTACGCTGTAAAGGAAGCGCGGGCAAGGCAGCCTGGCAGCTGCTGCGAAGACAGCGTGGCGCTGCCTCACAAAATTAAAATCAGAACCACTGCTGGTGTAGACCCAAATGAAGGCAGAGACTCGAAGCAGGGACTCACGGTAGTCACATGCTCGTGTTCATCACAGCACGAGTCATGGCAGCAGCCCCAGTGGCCGACAGGCGAATGGATAAACTGGACGTGCTCTGGCCGTACGGCGGGATGTTACTTGGCTTTCAAATGGATACACTGTGAGGGCATTATGCTGAATCGAAAGAAGGCACCCACAAAAAAGACAAATACCGCGTATTTCTACTTGTACGGGGTACCCAGAGCAGCCAGGCCCAGAGCCAGAAAGTAGAACGGTGGGTGCAGGGGGCTGGGAGGAGAGGGCTGCGGAGTTGTTTCCTGGAGACAGACTTTTAGTGTAAGGAGAAAAGGTTCTGGAAGTTGGGGGCGGGGGCGGGCGGTGGTTGCACAATGTGAGCACTCCATGCCACCGAACTCCCTGTGCACGGGTTAAGATGGTAACTTTGTTCTGTGGTTTTCACCAGGTAAAGGCGTGGACGGCCACTCGGCCGTTTTCTTGTTTTGGTCTTTGCCGCTGCCAGCTTCATAGACCCAGGGACTCTGTAGCTTTCTAAAGTTTTTTGTCTCAGCCCTTGGCTTCATCTTTAGATTATTTGAAGCCTCTCATAGAATGATCGTTCTTGAGCTGGTTTTCAATTTGACATTTTCTTTGTTTTGTCGATCCTGTTCATACATTTGAGATTACCTTTTATGTTTTGGGATGAACCTTCTATCTTAAAATACCAAAAGATGTGAAATACAATCCTGGACTGCCCTGAGGAAGAACTCCCCATTACCATGGTAGAGTGAGATTTTGGGGTTCTCTGAGTCATGCAGAATTGGTTAAATCGTATAGATCGTTAATCACTGTTTTGACTGTCAGGCTACTGACGTTTCTGAAAAATGGAAAAAACTGTCCTTACGCTTGGAGAGAAATGCCCTGTGGAGCATGCCCTGTGAACCGCCACTGCCATCGTGCGTCCAACCCTTGCGCTCCACAGGGCCCAAAAAGGTAGCCAGCTATGCCTACAGCTTCTGGATCTCAACTGCATTAAAGAGAAGTTATAAAACTCTCAACATGTAAAACTATTGGCCACTTAGATTTTATTTCTGAAGAGTAATGGAAATCACTGCAGTTCAGTGACTGAGAGCTGGTTTGAGTTCTGTTAGGCCTCAGGACATACAAATGAGACATGGTTGTTGCCACTAGGCAATTTAAAGAAACTTCGAGAAGACCATGCTTACCGACTTGTTTTTTTTTTTTTTTTTCAGCGAGTGGGCCACGGCAATGACAACCATGCAGATGCTGACCGATCCCCTATATTTCTTCAATTTATTGATTGTGTTTGGCAAATGACAAGACAGGTGAGAGATTTCAAGTGTATTTCTGACCTATGCAGTCTGATTCAAACCTCTCTTGACGTTGAGGGTTAGATACTTTCATTTAATATCATTCAAAATGAAGACGTGTGTGTGTGTGCTGTGAAATGACCCTTCAGTTTTTTGTTTTTAATTCAGTTTGATTCTAACTCAGAAATATTGTAGAAAATGAGAAACAACCAGCTTCGCACCAAATATTACTTTTTTTGTGCGAATGGTTTTTGTCAGTCAACTTTTTTTTTAATATGTATTTATTTATGCACACAAGGGCTGGGGTACAGGCCAGAGATGCGGGGGGTGAGAGGATTCACCAGAGACAGAGTGGTGGCTCCTCTTGCTCCCTTTCTGTCAGTAAGGTCGCCGCCCTCTGCGGAGTGGCTCCTGTGATTCACCCAGGTGTTAGGAATGGGATGTGACCCAAAGGCCTGCCAAGGGGATTAGATGAAGGACTACAGGCCCCACCCTGCCATCCCAAGCTCACTGAGGGAATGAGTGTCTGAGAAACAGGGGCAGGTAGGAAGCTTTGGGGCATCTTGCCATTTCCTGGTGCTTTATTTCCAAGTCCCACAGCCCAGGGACTTGGGAAGCAAGCGGGCCATGGGGGGTGCCCCTGGCCAGGCCCTGATGACCTCAGTTCATAGTGGGTCAGAAGACCTTGTGTCTCCAATATCCAAACTGAGTGTGGGGTCTGACTCCCAACATAGGAGATAGTGCCAGGAGATGGACTTGGAAGTAGAAAGAACCAGGGTAGGCACGCCAGAGACAGCTGAAGTGTCAGAGATGTAGAGGGAGGTACAGAGATGGAGACAGCGAGAGAGCCTTTGAGAGAGCACAGCAGAGTAGTTGTCAGGCTGGCTGGAGATGGCTTGTGGGGACTGGAGACGGGTGGGGCATGGAGAGCAGCTGTCCGGGCTGTCTCCCGGGAACCCTGGCCTTGGCTGTTTCAGTCCTTTGAGGGGACCCACCAGAACGGCGAAGACCTGCAGTGACTGCACCAGCATCGACCTTCCTGGCCTCCTCTGCCCCCACAAGTCCGTGAAATGCCCGTCCTGTTTCTCCAGTTACCTATAGAGTGTGTGTTTTGGGAGGGATGGGGGTTTGCCCAGCCTCCCTGGGGGCCACCTGGAGGGCACAAATGGAAACTTTTAAGTCATGCAGGCTGGGGCCTCTGCTGGGGGCAGGGTCTCATCTGTGAGGTCTCAAGGTCCTCAAGGCGGTTCTGATGTGCAAATGAGCTAGATACCAGCCAGCCCAGGTCCCTCCCCTCCCCTTTCCCGGCCCCACCCAGCCCTGCAGGCTCTGGGCAGCCTGCTTCAGCCTGGAGCCCACCAATCCCCAAGGGGCTGATAAAAAAGCTGCTAACAAGCTGGCTCCCAGGTGGCACTGCTGGTGCACAGACCATGTTGGGGTAGCTGGGTGTAGACAGGGTACACAGACCTTCAGAAGCAAGAAGAAAAGGCGGGACGGATGTTCTGAGTTGCTGAAGGCTCTTTGGAGTCCCCAGCCCCTCATAGAACTTTTAGACCTGGCCTCTGGGCGCTGATGATTTTGGAGTCCCAGTTAGGGGGAGCCACCTGCATACCTGGGTGGGGCAGGAACGCTGCCCCCGTGTATAGCAGGCACACCGGAGGCTCCCTGCGTCATCTTGTCACAAGGCCTCACACTTTGCTGTTTGTGTTGAAGCCCAGCTGGTAACAGTGAAGTGAGCGTTACACTCAGGTTAAGACAAAGTGTGAAATACACTTTAGAGGGCCTCCCTGGGGATGCAAGTGGTTAAAACGCAGCCTATGAAGCTATCCCCAGCCTCTGCAGCACGAGTTCGATCCCTGGCCAGGGAGCTACCCACATGGCACAGCAGACCTCTCCTGACTCGCCCACTGCTCCCCTCAGCAGTGTTTTTCAGTCAGTCTGTTCTGTTCCCTACTTTGTCTCTGGTGAATCGTCTCACCCCCCGCATCTCTGGCCTGTACCCCAGTTCTTGTATGCAGAAATAAATAAATCTTTAAAAAAAAAAAGAAATACACTTTAGAAATTGCATGAAAAGGTTGATACAAAACTTGGAATCAGTGTTTCTGAGGAGATGAGTGCCATTTCGTGGCTGTGAAGTAGCTTATTCCCCCCGAATGCCTAGAAAATGTGTGTGTTTTAACGTCTTCAAGGTGACTTTTGTTCTTCATATTGCTGAGAGCCTATTTCCGTGTCTGTATCCTTTTTGCACTGTTTATTGGATTTAAGAAAGAAAATAAGGGCTTTGCACTGGAAGATGTCAGATGCCTCTCATAGCTTAGAGGTTCTTTCCATGGAATATGTGTATGATTTTCTTTTAAAAACATGAATGCATTAAAGCATGAACATGATGATCGCTCTTTATCAACTAAGTCGCGCGTGAACGAGACGTAGCTTATTAGAAAAGGCGCATTCATGCAGCCAGGTAAAGCTGTCGGAAACCTCAGAGGAACACGACCTTGACTGTGAGCCCGGGTTGCTCTAAAGGGAACAGAGGGAAAGGAACCGGGCCAGCGGAGGGAAGGCTGTTACACTGGGCTTATTGCGGGTCTTTGCAGTTCTCCTGCTGTGGCCCCTCAAGTGCTTTCGGGCAAGATTCATAATGGTGGCTATTTTGGTCCCTCCAGAGGTGCAGAATTTTGTGCAGAATTTTATCATAGATTTCTATGGCATTTCTGAGCCCATGGTTTTTGGGGAGATAGTGTCATTTCCAGAAGCGGCCAAAACAAACTGGGGGGCACAGAGACTTCGTGTTTTCTTTGGGTCACTCTCGCTGTTGCTACTTCTCCTGTGACTTGTGCTGAGTTGAGTTGGATGCCATGATGCCCTCTGAGCTCAAAGAGCATTCCCGTGTTCGGGTTTGCGGGCACTGATGTGCTCGGGCTGAGATCCCATACTTGCTACCTGCTTGGCCAGAAAAAGGCGCTAGAGCATGCTCAGACAAGCTCCCCGCTCCAAGAATGTAGGCTGGGGGTTAGGAATGAGGGTTCACGCAGCTTCAAAAATGGGCTGTCTTGTGAATAAACATCTCTGTTTCAGTGTTTGAAGATAAAGTGGAGACCATACATTTCTGTGCTTGATTTAATAAGGCCCTCAGTAGACATAAGTGGTACATAGTTGCTTAAAACTCAGAGTTCATGGTACCATTTCTTTGTAAATGAGCATAACTAAGCTGCATAGAAAAATACTGACAAAAGTGGACATAATGTATTTGGCCTTTTTTAAAGAGCATTTTGGAATGTGAGGCATGGTGGGAGTTGCAAAAGGGCAATGTTACACTCTGGAGAGGGAGGCCAGCAGCAGTCATTAGCATTTTAGCCAGATCCCATTGATTTAGTTCATGATCAGTTCCTTCTAAGGACAAGAATACTACTTAGAAGCCACCACAGCTGGCTCCAGGGAGGAGAGGTCTTCTGACAGGCTCCTGAGGAGAGTATTGTCATTCAGAGGTAGATGAGCACAAGCTAAGTTGGAAAATATAATAGCCTTGCAAGGAAAATACCAGTTTCTGGTGGTGTTTGGACAGTCCTAGACGGCTGTTTCTAGTTCAGAAGCTTGTCTTTGGTCTGGTAAAGTAATAAACTAAGCCGAACAGTGAACTTGCTGACCAGACCCCTGCCTGTCTCGTCAGCGCCAACAGGATTAGCTGTGACTGCACACGCTCACTCCGAGCAGCAGCAGGCCTTTGAACTGCCCTCACAGAGAGCAAGAGGGCTGTCGTATTTGCTTGTCTTCTGCTTGGCTTTGTTTCAGAAGGTCAGGGGTATTTCACTGGGCTTTATAGTAGAATTTTGGCACGTGCCAGGCCCCCAGTCCACGCCTGCTGCTAGGATCATTATTACCGTTTCCACATCCTCACCTCACGGCTACTGAATGAATGCCCCTGCTGCTGGCTAGAACCTCCTGGCCGTGCTAAAGCCTTCACTGGAACTCTCAAACACCCCGTTAAGGGCTGCCTCATGGTCCCGTGAGGTCTTTCCTCCTTCCATTAATATGGTAAGCTGTGGTCATTGATTTTTTTTTTTTTTTTTTGTAACATCGATCTTCAAATGCTTAAACCAGCCGTGCATTACTGAAGTCAGCCTCATTTGGCCCTAGGAGTTACCTTTCGCATGTGCTGCCTGACTGCCTTAGTGTCAGGTGAGGCTTTGGACATGTGTGTCCACAGAGCTGTCTCTGTGGGAAGAGCTTCGACGGCGAGCTGTTTCTTGAATTGATAGAGGTGTTCTATGTCTTCTTGAGCCACTGTTAGTGCCTGCCTCCCCCCTCCCTTCTCAGCTCACCACCAGTCGAAAAGCTGGGACAAGATTAGGGCTCCCCTCATGTGTCCCCTTCTCTCAGGAGTCACAGTCCCAAGCTGCTTGTTGCCAGTGTCTGCAAACAGCTGTTTCATACATTTTTTTTTAATTTTTTTTTTTTAAAGAGGCACGTATTTTATTTATTTATTTATTTGTTTGTTTGTTTGTTTATACATGCGCTGGGTACAGTCAGAAACGTGGGAGGGTGAGAGACTTCACCAGAGCCAGAGCGGGGAGCAGAGCAGGCAGAAGGACCGAAGTACACTGCTGAGGGGAGCAGCGGGCGGCAGGAGAGGTCTGCGCGCCATGTGGGACCCTCCTCTGGTGGCTGGGGAGCAGCCGGGGATCGAACCTGCGCCGCAGAGGCCGCGGGCAGCTTCGCCACCCAGCGCTCAACCGCTGCGCCACCGGGGAGGCCCTGTTTCATACATTTTTCTCCAGCTTTCTAGTTGTTTCTGGCAGAGGGGTGAGTGTGGGCCACCATCTTGAGGGGCCACGGAAGCTTTTTTAGGCATAGGAGAGCACAGCGATTCTTGCCTCAGGTTTTCCTCAGGCAGACCTGTAGGTGTGGGCGGGAAACTCCAGGTTGTTGAATGCTATGTGGACTCGGTCTTCCTTGTCATCTTCCACTTTACTCCAAGTGGCATGGAGCTTTCACAAAAAATGTGGGACCGTTTTGTTTCAGAAATTGAACTTTAAAATTAAACCTTATTTTTCTTTTCATTTAAGTTTCCTTCAGCCTTCGAGTTTAATGAACTATTCTTGATTACAATTTTGGATCACCTTTATAGCTGTCTCTTTGGGACTTTCTTGTGCAACTGTGAACAGCAGCGACTCAAAGAGGTAAGTGTGTTACAGCCTGTCCGCCCGCCCCACGGCTCGGCCGGCTTCCTCATTAAGCTCCCCTGCAGAAGGGCGTGTGTGCAGAGGAGGCGGGTTTAGCCCTGCACTGGACACCCTCCAGGGTGTCCCCTCCACCCCAGTGCCCGTGTCTCATTTTCCAGCTGACGTGGCACCCCCCTTGATGGACGCTGGGGACGGGGACCCAGCGAGCCCACAGCTCTCAACAGCCTAAGCTCTCGGCAGTCAGTACAGGCCCTGGGCCTCTAAACTCCAGGTCCGCGGGCTTTCCACGCACTGACTCCAAAATGCCACGCTTCTGCTCTCCACTGCCTGTGCTGCAGGGGCTGGTGACCTTGGGAAGGGGCGCCTGTAGGGGAGCCCAGCACCTCCTCTAAGGAGCAGGCTGGTCTCTTCCATCTAGCTGTGAAAGCAGCAGCCACCAGCTTCTCAGTTATGTCTCGCCTCTTCTTCCTGTTCTCCTCACTGGGGGGCTGAGACAGACATGATCAGAAGTGAGGGGAGCCTTGCAGAAAGACAGCTCAGAGCAGCCTCTGGCTAATAAAAAAAGAAGTGCAGCCCACAGACTGAGTGTACGTATTAGAACAGCGTAAAAGTTAGGGCTGTGCAAGTCACCGGCACCTGCCTCCCTGTCTGTCCTTGAGGAGCCTGCCCTCGTTCTGTGCCGCCTCACCCCAGTTCTCTGGCACCAGCCGCCCCTAGGCTCAGTCTCCTAGGTTTCCCTGACACCCACCTCTGACCCTGGAGTGGCCAGGGTCCAGTCTTGGGGCATCTTCTACCCCCAAACTCTGATCTCTAGGTGACTTTGTCTATGCCAGGGACCTAAAGGCTGTGCTCCTCCCCTGCCCCTCCCCTGCTCTCTGCCTATGCACACGGGGACCCCTCACTGCTCCCCTTCCCCAACCGCCGCATCCAGTCCATCCACAAGTCCTGCTGTCCTGTCCCCCAATTAAGTAGCCTCTTAATCTGCCACTTCCCCCTGCTTCACGGCACCGCCTGCATCGGGCCCCGCTGTCCTGCACCTGGGCTAAGGCGCGGCATCCCAGGAAGGGGCTTTGGTGCCTGATTTCCGGCCCCCCCCCCCAGTCCACTCCAAATGCCCTAGCACTTCCGACGTCAGCCCCACGCCGGCCTCTGCCCTGGCGTCCCACTGCTGTCAGCTTCATTAAAAAAGAAACAAAAGTGAATTTTAAAAATATTAGCAAAAGAATGAAGTTCATACGCAGAATTTAAATCTTTTCTGGTCTTCATTTTTTTGTCCAGATGTGTTCTTTACAAACTAAAATGGGTCTCTCAAGGTGCTGGTACATGCCGTACAAGACACCTCTGCAAAGTGCACGGCCTGTGGTTTGTGGCGCCCTCCGTGCACGACCACCGACACCGTCTCATTTCATGACACTCATCACCCCAAAAAGAAACCCCGGGCCCACCGGCAGTCACACCCTGTTCTTCCCTGTCCCGGCAAATACCCACCCACTTTCTGTCTCTGGGCCCGCCTCTCCGGGCGCCTCACATGACTGGCGCCTTGCGATGTGTGCCCTCTCACGACCGGCGGGTTTGCCTTGGCATGTTTTCAAAGTTCACCCAACCGGTAGACTGCCCGGCCCTCCATTCACGCGTGTGCGGCCCGGCCGCGCTCCGCTCGTGGCCCGGCAGACGGACGCCTGGGCCCTTTCCGTTCGGGGCTTGACGCATGGTGCCGCGGCGCAGGGTCACGCGCACATCTGCGTGCGGACATGTGCTGCATTTCTCTGGTCATTTGCCCAGAGGAGGACTGCGGGCGGATGGCAACTCGACGCTGAACTTCTGAGGACCCGCCGGGCCGTTTTTCCAAGCGGCCGCCACAGCGGCCATCCCCACCGGCGGCGTCCGCGGGCCCCGCTCCCCCGGTGCTTGCAGATGCGCGCGTTCGGGGGCTGATCCCAGCCGTGGCGGTGCGGTCGGGTGGGATGGCGTCGTGGGGCTGATGGGCGTTTATCACGTGGCTACGGGCCGCCTGTACAGCTTTTGGGGACAAGTGTTTGTTCAGCTCCCTTGGCCCTTTTCAGTTGGGTTATTTGCCTTTGTTGTGGAGTTGTAAGAGTCCCTTATATATTTTTATATATTATATATTGATTATTTCACTGTAATGCACATTGTAGGACTAAAGAATCACTATTAGTTGTCTTGCATTTTACAAAAATCCATTTGAGAGGCAAACAATGCCATCTTACAGTGTTACCAGGGGGGTTCTGCCTGCACTGGAAAATAGCTCAATTTCTTTCAAGTGAATTCAAGGAGATCTGTCAACATTAGCAGCTATCTGAGGCAATCCTTTGTTGTCCAGTTTGTAGATTAGTCAGAAAGCATCATTGTACCCTACCTATTTTTAATTCCCACATTTTATTTAAATCCTGCTATGTTCCAGATAGATCTCGCGGTTGGAAGTACACAGTGAAAGAGACATAGTAAAGCTTCTGTTTGAAGGAACTTTTATTTTAGGGGAAATAGGGGGAAAGATGTGATTTGCAAAACTTTCTCCATTTCTATGCACTGTCAGTTTTTTGGAGTGGCGTGATTTGAAGCCCACAAGTCTTTAACTTTGATGAAGATTCAATTTCTCTTTTTTTGAGATTCTGTTGCTTGTACTAATGGTTTCTTATCCAAGAAACCACTGCCTAACCCAAGAGCATGAAGATTCCTTCTAAGGGTCTCAGCTCTTACATTTCTGTCGCGGAGCCACTTTGAGTGAGGGAAGGCTCCAGCTTCATTCGTCGGCGTGTGTTGTCCCGCTTTCCCGGCACTGTTTGTTGGGAAACCCCCTCCTCCCCAGTTTTCCTGGCACCCTATTGAGAAGCAGATGACTGAAAATGTGGGGTTCATATTTGTGTTCTCCATTCAATTCCACTGGCCTAGGGTTCCTGTCCATCCCGTGTCCGCACCGCCTCTGTTGGTTACTGCAGTTCAGTCATGGTTTTGAAATTGGGTGGTGTAAGACCTCCGCTTTCCTTTTCAAGACGGTTTTTGCAAGTTCCCCTGTGGCTGAGGGGTGGCATGGGCCTTGCTAAAGGCACCCGGAGGCACATCTGAACTCCATTCTTCAAATCGTTTTCCCTAAGTGATGCTAATTCTGGAGGCCATGAAGAAAAGTCGGCTTTATTTCCGGGTGTCCTTTTTTATTTTGCAGGATGTGTGTACGAAGACTGTATCATTGTGGTCTTACATCAATAGCCAGCTTGATGAATTTTCTAATCCCTTCTTTGTGAATTATGAAAACCACGTCTTATATCCTGTCGGTAGCCTGAGTCATTTGGAATTATGGGTAAACTATTATGTGCGATGGAATCCACGCATGAGGCCTCAGGTACGTTTTTGTTCATGTGAAAAGCGTGTTTTTCCTTCCGAGTAGAGCAGAAGGGTGCGCAAGCTTGTAGCATCTCCTCCCAAAGGTCCTCTGCCCGCCCTCCTGGCGCTCAGGCCCTGGGTTAGCGCTGAGTCTTGGCGCCTCTGCCTTCTTCCAGGAGGCTTGGTCAAGCTGCCATGGGCCTTGCCTCCTGGGCTCTTGCCTCTCTGGATGATGGGGGGCGGCGGGAGTGCCAGGGTGCAATCCAACCCGCCTCTCTGGGCTCTTGGGGAGGCAGCGCGGGGCAGGACAGCGGGAAGGGGTCCGCCAGGTGGGGCCGCCGACCCCGCCCACCCGCCTTCTTGTGGGGCTGGCCTGGCACGCCTGCCTCGCGTCTGAACCTGCTCCCTTTCACACCTCCTTGCGCTTACTCTGTCCCGTCGCCTCCCTGCCCGCCACCTCTCTGGGCTGGCACTGCGGCCGCCTCCTGCCGCTAGGAGGCCACTGCCTCTCCTCCCCAGCCTGCCGTGCCCTCCCCGAGCCTCTTCTGCCCCGTTACCCCGGCGCCAGGACGACCACACGCTTGCCCTCCAAACAAGCGTGTTCACAGAGGAAGGGGGTATCCTGGTGTGTGGCTGCTGCCCCCACAGACGATGAGCTTGAAACTGCATGGGCCCAGCCTGATTCAGTCGGGTGTCCCCAGCACCCAACCTGGGGTCCAGCAGTTCCTGGGCTCCTACAGGTGTGGCCTGGTGAGTGAAAGTGCACGAGAGAGGCTGCCTCCGGCTGGTCCCCCTGCAGTCAGCTCTGACTGGCTGCCAGTCACCCGCCCTGAGCTCCCAGGTTCTGCTCAGCAGGCTGCGGTGAGAACATGGCATCTCACCCCTCAGCCTCTTTGTGCCTCGCCACATGCCCTCTTTGTCCTTGGATCAACCCCCCGTGCTCCCCACAGTGAGGCTTGTGTTCGGGGGAGCACTGTCTTCGCAGCGGCGACTCGCAGGCCTGGGACAGGCGCCGGGGCCCCGCTGTCCTTTCGCTAGGGCCCCTGGCAGAGGACGCAGACGGGGGGCTTAGGGGCAGAGCCAGCACCTGCCCTCTGTCAGCTCCCCGACGGGTGCGCGCTGTGGGCTCCATGGGCACAGCACCCCGATCTTCACCAGGCAGGCCTAATCTCTGCCGCAGCCACCAGGAAGATGCGTGCGGAGAGCCGGAAGGCACTGGACGCCGGGGCCCGCAGAGGCGACCGATGGCGTGTGGGGAAGCCCCGCGCGGCCACTTGAACGCGGCGGCCTGCGCTCGCCCTGCGCTCTGGTCTCTGCAGGGCCCGCGTGGCTGCGCTGCATCTGGGGTCATGGGCGCGGAGTTGACATGCCGTCCCCCGGCCGCAGAGGCGCCTGCCCCCCGCACGGGCCCCCTCTGCTGGTGGCGCCCCGTGAGACGCGGTGCCCGGGAAGGCCGTAACCAGCTGTGTCGTCCCCAGATGCCGATCGACCAGAACCACAAGGAGCTGCTGGCCGTGCGCGCGGAGCTGCAGAAGAGGGTGGAAGACCTGCAGCGGGAGGTGGCCACCCGCGCCTCGTCCTCCTCCGAGCGGGGCTCCTCGCCGTCCCACTCGGTCACGCCTGTGCACACCTCGGTCTGACGGCGCCAGAGGCGCAGAGGGACCTGCCCATGGGCCGTCGCTTGTGATGTCTGTTAGGATTAGGCCTGGTGCCCCCGCATCTGAAGGGACTTCCAGCCCCTGACCCGTGTGGTCAGGGCAGCTCCCCCACTGTTGATGCTTCGTGTGTTGTGAGCACTCCGTCTCCCTCCTGTCGGCCGTCTCACAGGCCGGCCGGCCCGTCCACCCCGGCACCGGCTTCCTCTCGAGCCCCGCGCCCCGCCCCTTGGCCAGAGAAGCCTGCGGAGACAGCCGCGTGCTGGGCCTACGGGGTCGCCCACAGCTTCCTGTAGCTCTGGGCTACCGTCGGGGAACTGTTCTGGAATGAAGTATGTGGTGGGGAGGCAGCCGATGGCCTCTGTTCCGCACTTGTTTCCATGCAGGGGGTCCGTGGCCCCAATTTAGTGGCGCATACATAGAAGGTATTTTTTAATAAGAGAAACATACCTTTATTTTCCTATGTCCTCTTAGGGTCAGAATGGCCGCCCGAGCAGGCATCTGCTTGAGCAGACTGCGAGGCACTCTTCAACCCTCGCTCGGGCCCGCCTGTCCATGGTACACGGACGCGCGGCTTGCGGATGGCTGCGTGAGTGGCAACGGCTTTTGTCCCCACCGCGCCTTGGTACTTGCCTCCTGAGGTGGCTGGGCCGTCGACGGCATGACGGAGGGGAACCGAGGGTGCTGGCCTCCCTGAGGCACGCCTGTCCCCTCCTGGGCTGGCTGACGCCCCTGTCTGCCCTTTGCTGCCGCTGCCCACAACGCGGCGCCCCTGCTTCCCACGGCCTCCCGTATGGGAATCCCTCTGACGCCGTTTCCTCCTGCACGTCAGCATTTTGAAGGAGCCAGCGCCCGGCTCCAGTCGCCAAAAGCACGACAGCCTGCCCCTCGGGCCTCTGCTCCTGCTTCCCCAGCTGGGCGCCCTGACTTGGAGCTCTGGGGCCCCCCTCTCTCCAGCCGGGCATTCATCTACACAGGGCCATCCGCTGGCACGAGACCACCCCCTCCTGGAGGCACAGGGTCCACTTGGGGTTGGCACTTGCCGGGTCAGAGCCCAGGAAACTGCCTGGTGGTCAGCGCCTTACGGGGCCCGTGACCTCGTTCAGGGTTTTTACAGTCAGTTACTTAGAATAGATGTTTTTTTTAACTTGGAACCTTCTGATTCTTACAAAGGTTTTTCTGGTATAATTCCGTATTTATTCAAGGTAATTTGATAACCTGAAATCAATTCTCCATTTTTATCACCTGGGGGATTTGTTTGTACATCATCGTTTCATCCTAGTTTGACTTATGTTCCCAGCACATGTGAAAGCTCCTGTCCGCAGGCGCCCCGGACGAGGCGTGCGCAGTGGGGCGCGGGGGCGGTCCCCACGCCCGTGCCCAGGTCTCACTCTGGCGGCCGCACTAGGCCCGTGGGCTTGATCTTCTGCCAGAACCACCCCAGCAAAGCAGGCTCACTCTCACTGAGGTCCGCGCACGGGGGGCACCCCTAGAAACTGCGGCTCCGCTGGGCAGCAGCCGGCCAGACACCCTCTGTCCCCAGGGCAGACGACGTTTCTAAGCCAACCTGAAGTCTAGTTGTGACCCAAGCAATTCCTGTCCTGTCTGTAAGTGTCCTAGAGCGTCAGCCCTTCACGGTTTTTAAAAACTGGTACAATATTGTATTTGCTGCATCTGATGCACCATATTTCAACCTGGAATTAAAATGTTTGCTCCGAAGTCTGTTTCTTGTCTCTATTTCGGTGGACTTTTCCCTTGCGGGAAACTTAGTAATAAAATGTCCACTTAATGTTTACATGTGTGAACTGGGCTTGGCAGATAAAGTGCCTTGTAGGATTTGTTCATGTAGTAAATCAGAAATGCAAGGTAGTAATCACGTGGCTGAAATGGCCCGCGACCTTAACCTGGAGATGTCGTCCAGGCCACGGGAAACACTGGCGGCCCCGAGGTGGGGGTCCTGAGGCCCGGCCCTGCGTCCCAGACCTCCAGGAGGGGCCCAGGTCACCCCCCCATCTCCAGAAGGAATGCAGCCTTTGGGGTTATCAAGGCCTGGAGGACAAAACACCGCTCCCTGCGGGTCACCCTCTTCAGGGCCTGGGGTCCCTGTCCCTCCCTCTCCAGACTGTTCCCAGCGCTGACACATGAGCCGCAGCTGCTCCAGGCCTCGGTGGCCTCTTGCAAAGGGGCGACATGTGGCGGGTTTGAGGACTTGGGGTCCTACCCTCCAGGCCCTGAGACCACCTATCTGCCTCAACAGATGGGCAAATCCTCCTCCAGCTCTGACCAAGGGTGGGGCCGTCGGTCCGGGACAGCTGATGACGGTCCCACTGAGAGGGCGGGAGGCACTGGGAAGAGGCCCGCCTGAGACCTGCGCCTCCCTGTGGGTTCATTTCCTGCACTTGGGGAGGCCACGTTCCCCTGCCTTCAGGGCCCACAGCCTTCAGACACGTGCCCCTGGCCGACCCGGGTGGACCTTGGGGGTGGGCCTGGCCTGCAGCACTACCACTGACCACTCAAACCAGCTGCTGCGAGGAAGTGGTCGGTGGTGGATCTCAGCCTGTGGGGTCTGTGGGGGAGAGGGCCACCCGTGCAGTGCAGGGACACTTGAGCCTTCGGACCTAGGACCCTACCTTCCTGCCTATGTAAATGATGCTTCCAGAAGTGCTCTCTGACAATGCAAATTGATTATGACAGACTCGATCAACCTCAGTGCAGAGGCCCGGATCGAACCGCATGTGGGCCAGAGGGAACATTCCAGGAAGCCAGCTCTGCTGCAGTGCAAACCAGACAGCATCAGCCGGCCTGTGAGGGCCTATCCCGCCTCTCCCCCGTGCTCGTCATCAGAACAGGCTGGGTCCCCAGAGACAGACCAAACAGGTGTATTTCACTAAAACAAGCAATCAGTCTCTCCCCTCAGCCACCCCTCATTTTTACAAGCAGCATGCTGCAGGCCTCAGTCTTCGCTCCTGATGTCTGAGGCTTTAGCGGCAAAACGAGCACGTGGGGGGAGAGGGAAGCCCCTCTCCACCAGCATAAATTCATCTCCAACACAAAAAGGATCCTAAACCTCAGTGGGTCAGCCTGGAGCCCGCGCCGGGGCCCCTGTGGAATCAGATGGGCGTTAGGGCCTGAGAGTCGCGGCTTCTCCATCCTGGCATTCACGTTTACACTTCATAAGGAAAAGCCTGCATCTCGGCCAGCTCCCCGGGAACCCAGGGTGGAAGAGCAGGAACTGGAAGGGTCCTAGGGCAACCCTGGGGGAAATAGGGGGATCCCCGGTTTGAGGCCTTGCCCAAACACTAAACTTGGGCCAAGATCCAAAAGCATGCAGGGAGAAATTAAAACCCCAAAAAAGGTCTTATCGACGAGGGGATTGAGAAGGAGGCGAGAGGTGAATTGGCTGACACGTTCTGCCAGTAATGCCATCGGAGCCGAGACACCAAGGTCAAGTTAAAGCTGGAAAAGCAAAAGAGAGCATGGACGTGTTCAGCCCTTAACCCAGGCCCCAGCAGCCGCCCCCCCCCCCCCCCCCCCGTTTTGGAAGCCAGGTTCATGGCAGGCTAGGAGTTGTAATCCTTGGCACCTGAGATCTGGTCAGCGGGGAGAGGGGATGGGATCCAGGAGGATGTCAAAGGGTGGAGTTTGTTCAGTATCGTTCACTGGCCCGGAGTTTGCTCCTTCCAGTGCCTCTGGCAGAAGGACTGAACCCCCCCCCACCCCCACCCTAGGGCGCGTGTGCGTGGTGGCGCCAGAGGCCCCGTGGCTTGCTCCTTGCAGGGCTCCCAGTGGATGTGGTGCCCTGAGCCCCGAGTCCTGGAGGCCAACGCCGAGTTCTGGAGCAGCACACACACCAAACTCAGACGCCGAGCTCGCGGGAGACTCGAGGAGAAGCGGCGGCATCGAAGGTGAAGGTACGGTGTGGCGGGTGGGCCGCAGGAACGAGGTGCCTCAGATGTGGGAGGACTCGGCTGGCGGCTGCGCGGCCTGGGACGGCAGCGCCATGTAGGTCACTGCAGAGAGAGCAGGGGTGAGCGGGACCCGAATCCACATAACGGCCCAGCTGGGGGGCCCTGGGCCAACTGTTCCTTCCAGGATCCTCTCCCTGCCCACGGCCCCTCAGACCCCCCGGGCCTCCCCTTCCTGGGCTGTCTAATGGCCAAGGGGCCACCGGCAGGAGGACTTGATTTTACTAATTTGTGTTCCTTGTTTACTAATTGAGGTGACGCTGCCTTCTGACAGGACGTAAGGTTCAGGTGTTCGTTGTTGAGAATCAACCTGCGTGTCTACGACGTTCAGGTCTTTGCTAAGAGTCCAAATCTAGGAGGATTTTAGGGGCGCGCTAAGGGCAGTGTAAACCCATCCTCCCCGTGTTCGAATTCACGCAGTGTGCCTGGAGCCCTGGCCTCCCCATGCCCCGGCTGTGGTACCCCAACACCCCAAAGGCATCCCCACTGCTGCCCTTAGCTCCTGACTCAAGGTACACCCAGGTCCTGCCGACTGGCCTGCTCGCTCCCCTCAAGGCCTGCCCCTCCTCCTGAAGCCTTTCCTGGCCACCTTGCTGGCCTTCTGGGGCAACAGGCTGTACCTCCCTTGAGCGGCTGGCCACTGGCGGCCACAGGTGCGAGCAATTGTGCCAACTGCTGCAGAAAGTGCTGGATGGCCCTGAAGCGGGCACTTGGGGGTGGCATGGACCCTGACAATAGTCTCTGTGTTTTAACCAAATTCCCTCTAGCCTTAGGCAGTTTCCAAGCAGCGGTTCTGGGGGTCCAGGTTAAGAGGCCTGTGCGTGTGGGGAACTCTGCACATGCATCTGCTTTCACAGACAGGTGCCCGTGGGCCTGGGGCTCGGCTTGAGCTGAAGCGCAATGAGAGGTGGAGCCCACCAGGCCCGGGAGCCCAGGCCGCGCGTCCAGTGTCGCTGATGTCACAGGGCTGGAGCCTGGCTGGTCACACAGTGCGGGGACCCCCAGGCCCCTGTAGTCCCTGCTCTGGCTGGCAAATCTAGAAACAGCGCGGTGCTCCCCAAGCATGGGGACTCAGCACAGGCCGGCGGCTGAGAAGTCCTCACCTTGGGGCTCCTCGCACACCACGGCTTCCAGGTTCTCTCCCCTCACGTAGTCCGCGCTGAGCCCCTCTGCAGAGGGCGAAGGGTGCATTAGTGAAGACACGGCTCCCAGCAGTGCCCTGCCGTGACCGGGACCTCCTGCCCGAGTCCCACCGCAGCGAGAAAGCGCAGCTCCCGCAGGAACCCCGTGCCTGCGCCGCCCTGCACCGTGGGCCCAAGGGCTGGCCGGGCTCCGGGGGTGCAGGGCGGGCCAGGACAAGCGCGGCCGGGCCCTTCCCTGTGGAGCGGGGCGGGCGGTGGGGCCGGGGAGGCTGTTCTCAGCGCCCTGAGCCACCCGAGCGGGCACCGGACCACGTTCCCCCTCAGGGACGACTGCCAGCGGGCACCCGGGTCCCAGATGGGCCCCACCCCGGGCACCGAGCGCAGCCGTGCTGGCGGGACGGAGGCTGTGGCGGCCGCGTCCTCCATGCGCGTCGGGACGGGGAGAGCTGGAGGCAGCGGGCCCAGTGGGTGTGCGGCGAGGGGCGGGGGGGTGGCGAGAAGCGAGGGCGGAGGTGGGCAGGGCGCACAGCGAGGTGGAGGCCAAAGCGAGGGGACAATAAATAGAGCACGTGGTTACCTTGACCTTCCGCTGCATCTGAAGGCAAGACACAAAGCTTAGGACCCTGCGGTGAGAACTCGCCCAGCGCCCACACCCGGGCTTTCTGCACACGCGCTGGCCCTGGCACTCAGGGCCAAGATGGGGGACGCAGAGTGTCCCCCAAGCCCGGGCCTCCTGGGTGGCAGCGGAGGCCGGGGGCCCTGAGTGCCAGTGGGGACTGGCCATGCTGGCAAGCACCCCGGCTGCCGGAGGCGTCCCGGCGCTGGGTGCCACGCGGTTTCTGCACTCCCTCCCCAAGGTCACTCTGGGTAGAGCCGCTCAGGGGGCTCAGCACCCCACACATCCACAGGCTTTGGAGGCTGATGTGCCCGGACCGGCCCCGCCGAGCGCACCATCCCAGCACGGACAAGCCTATCGTGCCCGGTGGGCCCAGGCCAGGTTGGCAGGGGGCGCTGTGGCCGCGCGGGCCAGGCGCCTGCGCCCACAGGCCGCCCTGGGAGGCTTCCTGGGTGGGTGACCCCATGTTGGGGCAGTGCTAAGGGAGACAAGATGCCGGACATAGCGGGCACGCGTGGGGAGGTGAGTCTGGCTGCCAAGAAAGGCTTCTGTGTCCGCAGAAACAGTGTGAAGATGTGGTGGGAGCGGAAGGATGTGCCTGGAGGCGGGGGCTTGGAGTGCCGAGCGCGGCGGCTGGGCCACGGCAGGAGAAGGGACCCAGGGCGTCCAGCACAGCGATCCCTGTGCTTTCAAACAGGTCCTCTGGCTACGGGGGGAGGGGGGTGTGTTGCCAGCAGGTGTGGAGGGACTGGGGAGCTGGAGGCCTATGGAACCATCCAGACGGAGGAAGAGGAGACCTTGGCCCTGGCCTGGCAGGGGCCACGGCAGTGGGGTGGTGGAGAGGTGGGACCCCAGGATCAAGGGGATGTGGGGGAGAAGACCCAGGGGCTGGTGGGATTCGTGAGGAAGGCCATGAAGATGGGTGGGGACCGTTTACAAATTCCCCAGAGGCTGTGGAGCGCTGGTAAGCTCAGGGAGCGGACGTACAAACAAGGGAGAACTTTTCAAATTTGGGGGACACGCCATGCTCAGTTCCCTTTTGTGTACACCAGGGGTAACGGTGGTGCTAGTGCAAGTGTCTGGGTAAGGAACTCGGCAAGGTGTGGATTTAGCAATGACGTCACTGACAGACTGAACGCTGAGGGTGGGAGGGTGCAGCTCACAGGAGGAGGGTTCCAGAGGGTGAGAGGGGTGCAGTGTGAAGTCTGTGAGGGCCGGGGAGGGACCTGCTGGCCTAGCTGGGTCTGGCTAAGGCTCCCACTCAGGGGGCTACGTGGGCTCAGGTGCCCCAAACTTCTGCAGCGCCATCAGCCTTGCGGGCAGCTTGCATGCAGTGGAGCCCCTGGCCGGGCCCCCCGCCCCAACCAGGCTCAGCCCCCACTGCCCTGCCCGTTGAGGCCCACACCTGAGGCTGCGGCCCCAAGAGGCCACATCCGCATCTGGCTGTCATCAACGACACCCCTGTTTTTGGTTGATTCACTGGCAAACATCGTAGAAACTGTACCGCTTTACACACCGAGGCCTCCGTGCTTGCACCTTCCATTTGCCTTTGCAGGCTCATCCAGCTTGCAAAACCTCACGCCTCTTCGTTTTAGGGAACAAGCGTGAAAATAATGTATTTTCATTTTACCTTAATGCCGCATAGAGACCGCGGGCACACTTCCGACACCTGCTTTGGGCCGCAAGTTGACTTCTCTCACCCTCTTGGTTCCTACTATGGGCTCCCCTGCCCTGCTCTTGGCTCTCAGGTAGAAGGACGTCCCTTCCAAAGCCCCTGGAGGCCCCATCTCCTTGTCTTGAAGATGAGGGGTTCTCAGGGCGGTCACCCATGGGCAGCAGGCTCAGGATGGCATGATGCCTGGGGAGCCCTTCTGACTATAGCTATAGGCCCAGCTCTGATGTCGTTTCTCTTTCACCAAACGTGCTTTGGGAAGGCCTGAAGCCTTCCTTGCATGTGAGCCATCCTGGTGACTGGGGCCTATATACATCTCATTGTTCTGGGGTGAGTGGCCCCCCACAGGCACATGCACATCCTTGCGCCTGGAACCTGGGACGATGACCTTACTCAGAGAAAGAGTCCTTATGGATGTGACGAAGTTAAGGATGTCAAGATGAGATCATTCTGAACTTAGAGGGCCCTAAATTCAATGACCAGTGCCCTCAAAAGAGAGAGAAGAGGAGACACAGAGAGGCCATGTGAAGACCAAGGCAGAGATTGGAGGATGGGGCCCCAAGCTGAGGGATGCGTGGGGCCAAGACTTGGAAGTGGCTGGAGGATCCTCCCCTAGAGTCTCCAGAAGGAACCAACCCTGCTGACATCTTGATCTTGCACTTCCGGCCTGCAGACAGTGAGAAGAACACGTTTCTGTGGTTTTAAGCTCCTTGGGCTCTTTGCTCTTGAGCTGGGCAGGGAGAGTGCTAAGGACAACCCAGCGTCCAGCTCGCTCTCCTGACCCTTTCTGCTCATGCCACTCTACGGCCCAGCATCTGGGCCCGTGGTGGGTCGACAAGGTCTCAAGCAGGGTGACCACGAACAGTTGTGCAGGTCGCACACTGGGATGGGACTCGTACCCGTGGCGTGCTGCCGTGCACAGCTGCGGGGCCGCCTGGGGCGCTGCCCTGGAATGTGGGACCAGAGCAGGAGCTTGGCCGATGTGCCGGCCGATGCCAAGATGGCTGGAGACTTGGCAATAACCACGCTCGAAGCATCGCAGTGCCCCCGTTTTCTAGAAAGGTCAGCTCTAGGATAGAAGGGTGGGGGCCCGGAGCAAGGGCAGGGGAAGTCACAGGTGACGCCCCTAGCTTCAGGCCAGGGGAAGACTGGCCAAGTCGGGCTCTGTCCCGTGACCTGAAAATCACGGACCCTGGCGCGGAAACACCCAGCGAGCCACCAACGCCGTGCTTGTGAGAAGAGCAAGCGCTTGTTCCCCCTCGACAGCACCCCCGGGGTGTTCTGACGTGGGGTGACTATCCCCCTATTTGTGGACTCGCAGCTGGGGCAGGGCCCAAAGCTCTCAACAGAACGCAGCCTGTAGGGGCAGGTGGCTCTCCGGGCCTTCCTGCGTGTCGGAAACATTTCTGATGGACCGGACTGGAAGATTCTCTGGCTCATGGGGGGAAGATCAGGGCGCCCGCGCGCTGGCACCTCAGATCTGACACGGAAGGTTCTGGAGCGGCAGAGCGCTGGCTGACCAGGGCCTCTGAAGACCCGAGCCCCGCCCCGGGGGAAGTCCTGGGCCATTTGGGGACTCTCGGGCTCCTCCTGTTCTACTGGCAGAAAAGTCTCAGGCCACCTCAGGAGCAAGAGCCCAGGGCGGGTCAAGGGCGTCGTGCCCGGCCCTGTCCTCCTCTCAGGAGGGCTGGCCCTGCGGGTCGGCTGAGATCCGGCCCTGAGGGTGTCCCCAGACGCCACTGCCGCGCCGCCTGCCCGGGGAGTCCGCTCCGGACCTGGGCTCGGCCAGGTGGGGCCGCGACTCAGCTCGCCTCACCCGTTTCTGCCCCTTCGCCGCCCGCCGGTGTTCCCGGCGCGGGCCGCACTTACGCTGGATGCTGAAGCAGAACTTCTTCTGCTGGTAGGACACGTAGCTGGAGATGGCGCCCACCAGGGCCATGGCGAGCGCGCTGGCCACGCCGGCGATGGTGCCCGTCTCGGCCGACATGCCTGCCGAGACAGGGAGGGGGCCGTGAGGAGAGGCGGTGGCGCGCACGGCGCCCGGCCCCCAACCGCGAGCTGGCCAGGCCACCTAGATCTCGGGGCGCTGCCATCCCCCGGGGCTCCCTGTTGAGCAGCTTGGGCGGGGCTGTGGAGGCAGCGCCGCTCTCTATAGAGGCCCACACAGCCTTCTGGCGGGCCAGCACCCCGGGGGTCCCCATCTTCACACTCCAGTCCTGACTTGAAGAGTCCCTCTGCCACTGGCGGGGGCGGGGGGTCCCCTGGGCCCGGGTCCTAGTGGAAACGCACCAGATTCGGAACCATCGTTGCTGTCGTACCTGCCATCACCTGCAGAAAGAACACAAGGCTTAGTGGCCGCCGTCACCCCGCGTGGCCACCGGCCCCTGCCCGACAGCTCCCACGCACTGAGCATGTCATGGCCGGGGGGGGGGGGTGGGTGCCCTGGGGCCCCGCACAGGGCAGGGACTGGCCACCGTGGTGGTGGCAGAGTTGGCCTGAGCAGGTGAGCCTGCTCGGTGCTCCCCGCTGCCGTAAGATGTACTGGTTCTCTCTCTGGTTGCACAAACGTGCTTATGTCAAACTTGCTTTAAAAATAAAAGGATGAATGAGCAGCTTACAAATGACTCCAAACCCCGCAGCCCCGGGACCGGCGGCTCACCTGCCAGGGCACCTCCCCCTCTGCCTGCCAACCCCCAAGCCTCTCTGCCCACAACTTCAGTATAGACGGGTCCTCATGGGGCGCCGCAGGATGCACTGATACAGGGGGGCCCTGGTAGGCCTTGGCTTCCAGCTTGGCCTAGAGTTGGGGTTATCCTGGGAACATTAGCACAGGCAGGCTGGCAAGCCCTTGTGCAGACACAGAGACCAGATCAGAGGTGGGGGTGGGGCAGGGAGCATGCTTGGAACCGAACAGGATCCTGGGAGGGTGACTTGTGGCCACGAACTCTACGTGGTCGGACACCCCACACCGCGATACTATCTCATGGGCACGCATGCACGCACGCACAGGGCAACTTCCTTAGCCAGCAGTGCTGACCGGTCACTGGTGCCATCAGGACACTTACTGGCCGTGAGGGCGGCCTTGCCAGTCGCCTCTTCTCATTAGCACGAGGCGCTGTGACAGCCCTCACCAGAGTTGAGGTGGGGCTTGGACTGTGCATGTACCTGGGGCAGGCGGTGCCGTCGAGGGGGCGGGTGTGGGTGTGGAGTCAGGGGCAGAGGGAACTCTGGACTTCTGCTGGATATTGCTGGGAAACTGTGGCTGCTCTGCCCCCAAACAGTGCTCATCTCTATTTAAAAATTGAAAAAGGGGGGTACACGAGGCTCCCTCTGTTCCCTCCGGGGGCCAACCCTGCAGCTCAGCACATCGTGCGGACCCTGGTAGGGTGCAAGTGATTGCCTGCAAAGAAAGAACTGCCAGCTTGTGAGACCACACCCTCACAGGTGTCCTCTGCTGACGTACTCAAGTCTTGGGGTCTCCAGAGAGACGTGAGGGATCCAACCTACCCCTCCCTCACCTCCAGGTGGAATGAAGCGTCGTATTCCCAGGTTAAGGCTGGGTCACAGGGCCCACTGCGACTGGACCCTCCCAAGCCGTAGGTGGCGCTCCGGGGGTGTCACAGGGAGCATTACCAGGGCACCCTGCCTGCGGGCCCTCTGCAAGCCTGCCACCCCAGCTGTACTGGACAAATCCTAGGGCACATTCAGCAAACAGACCGTGCTTCAGCAACGTGAAGGCCGTGCATGACAAACAAGCCTGAGAAGGACCCCCAGGTCCGAGAGGCCAGGGTCTTCCCATGAGGTGCTGGGGGAGAGAGGGGCCCGGAAAATGAGCACTGCTCTGCAGCTGCCAGAGGGAGACTCGTGCACTGCCACGTCATGGGACATCAATGGCAGGAGGAGCCACAGCCCCTCAGTCCATCGGGCAGGCGCCGAGCTGGGAGCCAGGGAGGCCGGCTGAGGGGGCACACAGCCTCAGGTGCCCTGCAGCTGAGCACGCGGCGGGCAGAGACACCCGGTATGGGCCGAAAGAGCACCCTAGACATGGATGGAGCAGAACAGAGAGTCCAGAAGGAGGCCCCGAGGCTACGGTTGGTGGGTTTTGGGCACAGGAACCGAGACAATTCAACGGGCAAAGGACGAGCTTGTCGACGAGTGGCGCCGGACAACTGGCTGCAGAGGGGCAGACTCGGGCCCACCACAGACCAAGGAGCTGGAAATGGGGAAAGACGCACGTGTAAGAGCCAAAGCTGTAAAGCTCGCAGGAGACGACATGGGAAAATTCTTCATGACCTTGAGGGCCCTCAAACACCCAAACACAGGTCCGTACGAGCAAAAATTGAAAAATGGAATTTCATAAAAATACTTTCATTCCTCACACACTTAAAGGGAAAAGAAAAGCTACAGGCGAGAAGAAAATACTTGCAAACTCATAGACCTCATAAAAGATTTATATCAGCTTATATAAAAAATCAATTTTTAAAACGGGCAAAATAGCTGAACAGAATTTACCAGAGAAAAACATAAAAAGATGCGCGACATCGTCTCTCGTGAGGGGTCTGCGAAGGAAGGCGAAATTGGCGCAGTCGCTTGGGACCACAGCTTGCCAGCCTGCCACGTGACCCGGCAGGCACGTCCAGGTATCCCCCCCAAATGGAAGCCTTATGCCTACACAAAAACCTGCAGCTGCGTTTGTGAATCTTTAGGGCAGCCTCAATCACAATCACCAGACCCCGGACGCGAGCCAGGGGCCTTCGAGAGGCGAACGGACAGGGTCCACGCAGACGACGGAACGTCACTCGATGCTGGCAAAGAGCGAGCTGTGAGGCCCGGCGCCCCCCAAACGCGCACTGCTAAGGGAAGGGGCCAGTCTGGAAGCCAGTGCTGTGTGGTTCTGGAGATAGGGCGCTCTGGATGAGGCGAAAACGAAACGGCAGGGACAGGGAACAGATCAGGCTGTGGAAGGGGAGGCAGGCCGCTCTGAGAGGGGAGGGAAGTGTTCCCGGTTCCTAATGCTGTGGGGCCCCCGGAGCTGGGGTGTTGCAGTGTCTACGTGCACACTCTAGTTTGGGGGGTCCCTATCGCTGTGGGGGTCACTATTTCTATAGCAGCAGCAAACCCTAGATCTACGGTGCTCCACAGAGCCTGTGTAGAGGTTTCTGGCCCTGGAGAGGTTCCAAGGTCCTGGAGAGGGCCGCTTCTAATGTGATCGAGGCCGCTGTAGTGTCTTTGGTAAACAGCTGTCAGCTCAGAAGGCAGGTGGGGAAACAAGTTGCCCTCAGCAGCAACAATCCTGCCTGTGGCCTGAGGCCTGAGGCCTGAGGAACAGCCTCTGTGACAGCTCCTGCCACTGCAGGAAAGTAATGTTGGTTAGACTTGCATGGGGCTTACACACTTTAAATATTTTTTTTTAATTATAGGAAACGTACTTGCTTATTATCTAACCATCTAGAAGGGTCACCAGGATGCCTCTGTGTTCATGCAATATTTTTTCTATACATAATTATGCCTTGGTATATATTTCTGTTGATTTTTATAGAAATGGGATCCTTTTTAGAGCAGTTCCTATTTAATATCCTGAATCTCTTTCGCTGTCATGGAATAGTCTAAAACGCCATGTCAATGGCTGTGAAACATGTGACATACCTGGTCATCTGACCAGCTCCTCTAGCCCCCCTCAGCCATCTTGTGCCACAGCATTGAGGATGCAGTTAGAATCATCTGCCACAGTCTACATGCCACCACGGGCTCCCCCACCGCCTATAAGACGTGCGCAAGGGAGAGGCAGAGAAGTCAAAAGCCACAGCAGGGCCACAGCACTGAGGGCTGTGGCCAGCAGGAAGTCATGGGGGCCAAAGAGCAAGTTCAGGGGAGAGGGAGCGGAGCTGCCATGTGCTGGCGTGGCAACGACAGGAGCCATGAGGAGCTGTAACCCAATAACCGCAACTTTCTAGCTGGTGAAAGTGCTGGAACTGGAAGCGGAGGGTGGGTGGTGTGGAAATGGCACCTATAGAGCCAGGGGAAATGATTTCTGGAGAAGAACGTGTCAGCACGTACTTCAGAAAGAGGCTTCAAAACTGGAGTTGAGTGGATGGGCCCAAGCGCTCCGGTGAAGACTAGCTAATTGGGGTTCTTTTCTGCTGGAGACCATCATCGCTTTCAGTATGGTATTTTGTCTCTGCTCACGGCATTAGCGTGTTTGTGAATTTCATCATGGGCTCATCAGGGCCACGTTGCAGTTTCACGCTTGTATTTTCTGCCGGACCCACCCCCCCATTTTCTTTTGCTGACACCTATAGCGACAGAGGGTATAACTTAAGCTAACAACTGATTACTCTTTACAAGAGAAGTTCAAATATGAGCCTAATTAAAGAATTTCCTAACACTTCCTCCTTACTAAAACATGTACTTTTAATAAGGAACCCCCCCACTCCCAGACATGTCATTCAGACTTTCACTTGTGTGTGCCTGCACACCACCACTGCCCTCGTCTCACCATCTGGAAATACCATTTGTCACCCACGAGTAATTGGCTAATTTGCAGGGTTTGCCCTTTAAATGTCCCATGTTCTCCTGACACCCGTGAGCTTCATTTAAAGGCTTTAGAGCCTTTTACTTGAGATGAGACAGTCTGGAAAGCGTTCCATAGGCCACACTGGACTACCACATCCTTCCGCGGTGGGCCCAGCTCCCGCGTGCGATGGTGGCAGGTTGCAACCAGGTACGCCGCAACTTCTTCCACGCACACCCACAACAACCTGCCATCGGGAAGGGCTGCAAGCACAACTCACCATCACAACGTACCATCACCACAGGTGCAATCCAGAACACTCACCATCACAACAGGTGACAAGCACAAGTGACAATCAAAAATTACAACCAGAACCTGTTCGGCCACATGAAGTCTGGCTCGCAATGTCTCCCTGCTAGCATCCAACCTCAACTGGTATTATGGTAAAATGGTAAAGATTTAAATGAGGGCCTCCCCTGGTGGCGCAGCGGTTGAGCGCTGGACTGTGAAGCTGCCCGCAGCCTCTGCAGTGCCGGTTCGATCCCCGGCCACCAGCGAGGGTCCCACATGGCGTGCAGACCCCTCTTGCCGCCTGCTGCTCCCCTCAGCAGTGTACTTCGTCGGTCTGCCTGTTCTGTTCCCCGCTCTGGCTCTGGTGAATCCTCTCACCCTCCCGTGCTTCTGACTGTACCCAGTGCTTGTATAAATAAATAAATCTTTTAAAAAAATTAAATTAAATTTATATTTAAAAATTTAATTTTTAAATTAAAAGGGCAATTTAGGGGGAACCAAAAATATCTGGGGGCAGAGGTGACACTGAAGGGCTAATATGGAACACGTGTGCATCCTTCATGCAGGTTATGGGCCTGGTTGCTGAAACCTCCACACGACAAATTTCAAGGGTGTGTACACACACGCCACACACGCCACACACACACACACACACACACACACACATGCAATGCGAGTATGCAAAATCTGATGGACTCTGAACAAGAGCTGCATTTAACCAGAACACTGCACCAACGTCAGCTCTGTGGTTTAGACAATGTACTGAGACTATTGCAAACGCACTGTGGCCTGACATCATTAGGGGAAGCTGGGTGAAGGGTACCCAGGAATTTTCCTGAGCAATTTCACAACTTCTTAGGAATCGAACTATTTCAAAATTAAAAAAAAAAAAAAAGGATTTTACAGTGAATTTTGCTTCTCTTACCCCAAGGGCGACAGGACCCGGTTTCGGGCTGTTCCCAGAGACCCTGACCCCCAGGGACTGTCACTGGCGTTTCTGCGGGATGGAGACCTTAACCTGTGCAGCACGCGGCCATAGGAGCAGCAGGTGAGATGTGTGGCTTTTCCAAATGGCTTTGTAAACGCTCCCACCACGAGCTGCACGGCCCATGTCATTCCAAGTGAGCCCCAGCTTTCAAGCAGGGGTGTCTGGGAACTTGTTACCCAGAGGCTGAGCCATACAGCTCAGTCAACCTGTGCTCACGTGATCATGTTTTAATGAGAAGAAGGGGCGCTGCTCCTACCTTTACCCTTGTCGGGCTTGTAATCCCCTAATATGTCTTCAAGATCCTGGTCCGTAATTCCTGGAGAAAACAAAAGAGACATTTCAAGGCCCAGAACCACTTTTCACCAACAGGAAACTTGCGTCGATGTGGCTGATATCCCTGGAAAATAATTGCCCCTCAGAATGTTCTTGAAGACTGTGGGAGGCACAACTCCCGAGAAGTGCACGCCTGTATCACATGCCCTGAGAACGGCAGTGGGACCGTGAACAGGGCGCAGAGCACCTGTGGTGAAGGGAGCGGGGTTTGCAGATGGAATGTAGGTGCCCAGTCAGTTTGACGCTGCATTATTCAACAGACAGATTAACCTGGGTGGGCCTGACTTAATCATGTGAAGCCTTTACCAGAGAGTTGAACCTTCCCCAAACTCAGGCACCAGAAGCAATAGTCTTCCTCTCATGCTGATCTTGACAAAAGCCTGAGCCTAAAGCTCACTGCACCTGAGCCAACGTCAGCTGACACCAGACACCTCGCCAGCCAACACCTGGCTACACCTGGCCAACACCCTGAGGCAAGCCTCAACAGAAGACCCACTGAGCTGTTCTGGGAAGTCCTCACAAAGCAAATGGGAGATACGCAATAAACAAGTGCTGTCCCGACTCGCTTTGGAAAGATCAACACAGGGAAACAGCAAACTGACGTTTAGAACATTCCATGTGGTGACAGTGAGTGTTCTGAGAGCACTGCTGTTCATTTTAAAGCACTGACGTCACCCCAGAGCACGTGAGCCCAAGTCACTGTGGAGCTGTGCTCGCTCCTGGTGGCAGGGGAGGCCTCTGTCACCAGGAAGAACAGCGGTGGCTACACAGTGACCTGTAGCTGGGACATCTAGCAGATGTATTCTGGACAGTGGCCACAATAGGGCCTCTCAAAGAAAGCCACTGGTGGTATTTGTTGCCAATGATAAGACTTCAAGAAAAACTAGAATTTTGAAAATCTATATGTCCACTACTGTGAGCTTAGCAGCTTCCCAATACCGAGATCTTTCTCGAATGAGATGGATGGCGATGCTAACAAATGTGAAGTTGTCTGCACAGTGCTCTGCGGCATTAGCAGGAAGCTGAACCATCCTCCGGCCACCGTGTCTTGCAGGTGAGCAACGCCCAACGTTCCTCAGCCTCGAATGGGAAAAGCAGAGCCCTGAAGAGCAAATTGGGCCACGGGGGCATCACTGGAAAAGAGCACGACAGCTAGCTGAGGTGACTGCGTGCCCACGCCACACTCAACCCGCATGAGGCTCCCACCTCTGGCGTCACGTGAAAGAATGTCCACGTGATCTAAAAGGTCCATCCCTTTCCCAGCGGTGTCTGTGAGGCTGCTGCCCCTGCATCTACTTCAACCACAATAACACGTCACAAGTGAATCCAGAAGCAGATGTGAGCCCCGCTCCTCCGCCAAGTGACGTGATAGAAATGTGCAAACAGGCATGAAAAAATCTGATTCTTTTTTTCGACTTTGGTTCGAAGATGACAACTAGTGACAGCGGTGGCCCACGCAGAGCAGCTATGGATGTCCTCCAGAATCACAGGGCCCTGACACCCACTCTTTCAGACCCACTGTTTCGGGGTAGCCCCGTGCCTTGCAGTGCCCCAGCTCTGCCCAGCCAGGAGCAGCACCGTGGCCTGAGGTAGTTACTGAGACGCAAATGACAGAGAGATCCAGGCTCGGCCTGTGTTCCCGCCACCTTCCACTTACCTCCCCCTCCCGCACTTGGCTTCCTAAGGCCATCATCTCGGTCGTTTCGATCGTCCAAGGCATCGGCCAGGTTGAAATCATCTTCGCAGTCCCCAGCACACAAAAGAGAAAGTAATTAGTTCCACTACAGGCATCTCATCTGGACACTGCGCCAAGGCGGCTCCACGGGCCCTCCGCCCTTGCGGCCCTCCTCAGAATGGCCGTGTTACCTTCAGGCTTTGCAGGAGCTCTGGTCGTTCCTGGCCTCTTGGTGGTGGTGGTGAAATAATCCCTCCTCTCTGAGCGGGGAGGGCAGACAGTGAGAGAGCACATTTAGTATCAAGACATGGCAGCCGCTTCACGGCCCGGGCAGTCCTATCACGCGCAGAGCGCTAGCTCGCTCCCCGAGGCCCCTTCTAAGGCCTCGGAAGAGTCCCTTCAAGGATGACAAAGAGATGTACAAGGTTAAAATGAGATGGGTTCTGCTCATTTTCTTCAGGGCCGATGGTGGTAAGGCAGGCCTGGTCCTGCAAGTGCGGCTAGAGCTTGAGTACAGATCTGCTGGACACGCTACATGGCCCAGGGGGTGCCGCAGCTTCCGTATGACCCCGCAGCGCTCGGCCGCTGTCAACCTGGCACCATAGTCATAGATGAGACTTCCCAGGGAAGGGTGAAGTTATAGTCCAGCATCGTGAGGGCGTAGCTCAAGAACTGAACATGGTTATAACCCATACGCACAAGGTTTTATTAAGCGTGGTTAGTATTGTAAGTGTGAGGTCTTTGGGATCAACCAGATTCGTCTAAAAACACGGGTTCCTTCCACATCAACTACATGGCACGTGTGCGTGTGCACTAGTTTCTTTTCTTAAATTTCAGGAATATGCTGTCAACTGTTCCTGCAGCTGGAGGTAGAAGAGGAAAAGGAAATTTGAGTCATGGGACAGGCACAGCTGAGAGAGGGTGACCTTTCTATACAGCAGCCACTAAATTACCAGCCGCTCTGGCAACTGATAGAAACCGGCCGAAAATGGAAGGATGGACACAGCAGACACTATGCAGACGTCAGCCACAGAGAGCCGGAGCAGCCTCTCTGGATACTACTATCAGAAGAACAGATTGAAGAAAAAAATAATTATTACTAATAGATGAAAGAAAAGTTATTCCGAGAGTCAGAGTGGGGTCTATGACGAGGAAATCATGTACCCAGCCACTCCTTTCGCATATCTGTCAAGAAGGCTCGCACGAAAGGGCACCTGCAGGCACTCTGAGACCGACTTCTCTGGAGGCTGCGCACAGTAGGGCAGCGCGATCCCCTGTGAGGTGATTACAGACAGAGAAAAAAGCGTGGGAGCGTGGGAGGGCGGAAGGGAGAGAGAGGGAGGTTGAGAAGGAGGCAGGGAGATGGGGAAGGAGAGAGCGCAGGAAGGGGCGGGGGAGTGACAGGGCAAAGAACGTTTTTGAAAGCAACATAGATGACCTTGAAAATATTATGCTAAGTGAAGCAGCCAAACAAAGCGCACACTTAAATATGCCTCCATGTCCAGGAAGAGTCCAGAATGCAGCCAGAGAGGCAATCAGAGGGGCTGAGGAGGAATCAGGGGACCAGGGAGGGATAAAGGGGGATGGGGTTTCTTTCCAGATGTGATGAGAATGTGATACAACTGGCCGTCGTGACACCTGCACAACCTTGCAAATCAACTAAGAACCTTCAGATTGTGCATCTTCTGAGTGGGTCCGGCAAATTCATCATAATTGCTTGCTCTTTATAGTTTAATTTACTACTCACGCTTTAGTGCGAAACCTTCTTTCAGTCTATCTTCCACATTGAGGCCATCACCGAAGTCCCCGGATGCTAAATATTAAAAAAAAAAAAAGGAAAAAAAACTTTTAAATTTCTTTTTGCATGAAACAAAATACTACTGAAATATTGTCTTGTAGAAGTCATCTTCCCTAAGATAGCATCACGAAGGTAATGCTGCCAAAAGAAATCAGCTAAAGACACCCAAAGATAAAGACTTCCTTCCAGAAACAACTGATTCCCAACAAAACCAAAGAAACAGCCTTCGGTCACCACAAGGTTGAGGGATCAATTTACATGGAGCACAAAGTACAATTTTACAAAAAAAAAAAAATGTTCTTCAATGAATGGCTTTTACCCACTCTCTCACCCCAGCCCAGGTCTCTCCAAGGCCGCTCTGCATTTTATCAACCCAGACACCTCCCCTCACCCCAGCACCTCCACCAGACTGGTAGCTCTGATGACACACAACTGAAGAGGCTCTGCAGAAAATATTTCCACAGGAGAATCTGTCCTCAGAAGTGGACCCAGGTGCCCGCCCCTGTTGCTATGGAACTTGACAACCATCACACATTCCTTCTAGGTGCCATATAGTTTCCCAGAGCATTACATTCACATTATTCATTCTCAAGCACACCACAGTGTACACACACTGGAACTGAACAAAAAGTACATAAATGGGGGATTATTGAAGTTTTTTTCTTTTAGCATTTTTCTATGAATTAAAAAAAATATTTTATACGTTTTTTAACATCATTTTTCATTTTTGTACAATGTATGCATTTTCATCTTGGCTATAGTCCCTGTAAAAGTCCCACCACCCACTCACCCGTGAATATATCATTCCAGCCTCTTATGGCCTAAAAGGCTTCTGCTGAGAAATTCGCTGACAGCCTTGTGGGGGTTCCCTTGAATGTAGGTCACATCTTACACCAGTAAGAGAAATTCACTCAAAAAGGACCGAAGACTTAAATGTGAGATGTAAAATCATAAAACTCCTAGAACACAGGGGAAAATATCCGTAACATTGATCCTGGCATTTTTTTTTTTTAAGTAGGAGGCCAAAAGTACAAGCAACAAAGGCAAAACTAGAGCAGTGGGACTACAGCACAACTAAAAATATTCTGGACAGTAAAGGAAACAAGCAACAAAATAAGACCAGCTATGGCATGGCAGAGAAATTCCCAACTGTGTATGGACTAAGGAACTCCTACAACTCGAGGAGAAAACCCCCCCAAATAATCGAATTTAAAAAGAGAGGGCACAATTAGTTATTTTCCCAACAAAAACATACAAATGGTCACTAGGCGCGTGAAAATATATTCACTATAACCAGGGAAATGCAAATCAAAAGCACAATGAGATAGCACTTCACACCCACTAGAGTGGATGGGACAAAAAGGATGAGAAATAATGAGGGCTGGCAAGGCTGTGGAGAAAGGGGAGTCCTCGCGCCCTCGTGGTGGGATTGTCAAGCGGTGCGGCCACTATGGGAAAAAAATGAAGACTAAAACTATCACGTAATCTGTCAGCCCCACTTCTGGGTGCCTGTCCAAAGGAAATGATGCCGCCCTCTCCGGATCGCTGCACCCCGTGTCCACGGAGCAGGATTCACAATAGCCAAGAGATGGAAACAGGCCAAGTATACGTTAATGGGTGAATGGATCAAGAAAATGTAATCACATATAGTCTCATTGCGGTTTTGACTTACATTTCCCTGATAAGTGACAGTGAACATCTTTCCAAGCGCCACTTAGATGGAAAGAAATTAGAGATGGAAAGACATTCTGTGCGCATGGATTGGGAGACCTGACATTGTTTTAATGGCCATCTTATCTAAAACAACATCAAATTCAATGTCATTCCTATCAAAATCCCAATGGCATGCTTCACAGAACAAGAAAATCTGAAAACTGTGTGACACCGTGAAATACCCCAAATAGTGCCAACAGTCATGAGGTGGACAAGCCCTGACTGAACCTCAGCACCAGGCCCGGGCTCAAGTATTTGGCGATAAACTTGCTCCACTGCAGACAGTCCCAAAGACGTTCTTTTTTTAAAAAAAGATTCAATTACTTATGCATACAGAACTGGGGTGTGGGCCAGAGGTATGGGGTGGTGAGAGGATTCACCAGAGACAGTGGGGAACAGAACAGGCAGATCCACTGAAAGACACTGCTGAGGGGAGCAGCGGGGAGACAGGAAAGGTCTGCTGCACCACGTGGGTTGCTCCCCAGCCGGAGATCAAACTTGTACTGCAGTGGCTGCCAGTTGCTTGACAGTGCTGTCTTTAACCCCTGCACCACCAGGGAGGCCCCCAAAGACATTCTCATGATGGAGAAAGCACGCTGCAAGCTGCCAATGACTGCCTGAAAATGTGTTTGCTCGTTGAACAGAACATTGGAAAAGTTAACCTGTGTGCTCGTAACGTCCTTGAGAAGATTCGGCTAATAAGAAAATGTCAATTCCACCCACAGACCCCAGTGGTCTGGTCTGTCCTGAGGTGGGCTGAGTCACTTTGTGGGGAAATGTAAAGTTGACCTCACACTGCAGCCTGGCCCACTGTGATGGGTGAGCGCAGTCTGGAGCGAAGGGTGCAATCTGACGAGGGCTGTGAGGAAATAAGGCAGGGCCCTGCCAGAGAAGTCTGCCCCACTGGCCGATGGAAGCGTGCTGTGCCAGCCTTTCAGTGGACTTGATTCATCAGTCACCCACCCCCCTGAGGGCACCCCGAAAGCTCAGCCATCCCAGTGTGTGTTCACAGCCCTCCTCTCTCGATGCCTACCCTGTGCAACGGAGCCGCCACCCACTCCTCGTGCAGGTCTGCATCAACACCCTATAAAATGAAGGTCCCCCTCCCTCGCTGCACTGGCCATGGCCCGACAGCTCCCAGCTGGGCCATGCCCCGGCTGCCCAGGGCTCCACGGGACAGCACTGCTCTCGGCGAGCCGCTGGCGGCGCACCAGACCCGGTGCTCTCCATGCCATGCTGGACGCAGCCCTGGCAGCGAGGAGGCGCAGCCCTGGCAGCGAGGAGGCGCAGCCCTGGCGGCGAGGAGGCCCACTCCACACGTTCGCGGCGATTCTCGAAACTGTCTGCATGCTGTCAGTGTCTCGCGCCGTTCTCCCAGCATTAGCAGCACCTAGGACATGCTGTTTCTTTGAGACACATCCATTTGGGCTTCATGCCAAGAGCAAAGTCATCTCTGCTCCCTGCTGGGGGTCTGGGACTGCGGGGGCAGGAGGCAGCCCAGACCCTGGCCCGAGAGATTCAGGGAGATCAGGCCTGGCCCGGGAGAAGGCACCTGTCAGAGGCGCGCTCCATCTGCCCCTCTGGGTGAGGACGCCTTCTTGTCTACATTTTTCCTTTGTACGTAGAAGCAGCTTTCAGTATAACTCCTAAACAAATACTCCCCTAAACTTCTTTGATTTTCAAATTTTGCAGTCCTGACCCTTTCCTGTGGATGGCTAAGACCACTGACCCATGAGACTGGCGGGCCACACTGCTGCTGCCTCGGGATGTCCCCGGTGCCCGGTCTGACGTGGCTCCACGAGCAGGCCCGCCACCCACGGCCCCCTGAACAACATGGGCACAGGGGCGCCCACAGCTGTGCCGCACAAAGCCCAGGACCGCTATTCACCACAATCCACAGCTGCTCAAGATCTTGCATTTCCTGGGCGCTGCCCGCACGCTGCTAGGCAGCTCCCAGGCCGGTGGCGCCTCCTGGCTTTCCTCGACAAAGTGCCATTGACAACAGGGTGTGGGTAAGTGAAGATGCTCAGGCTTCTGCACCGCTGGTCTCTGTGGCTCCCACCCGCGGCCTCCAGTGCAGGAGGCGCCCGGGAGCGCGGGCGCAGGGCCAGAGTGCGGTGCGCGCCTGGGCCTGGAGGCCGAGCATACAGGGCAGCGAGGACGTCTATGAAAGGAAGCGGCCGAGAGAGAACGCCGGCCTCCTGGCCCCCCGGCCCCTGCCTTGCCAGCCTGCGGGCCTGCCCGGCAACAATTGGTGTAGAAAGAGCATTGAAAGCCTGAAAAAGCCACGGAGGGCTCCGGGGCTCTCCCTTGCCGTCTGCCCCCATCGACAGGGAACCTGCCCCGAGCCTTGTTGGCGCCGCAACGGGCTTCAAGCTCCGCGTCCTCTTACACTTCAATCTGGTTTTCAGTAAATACAGCGAGGTGCCCTGTATCGGGCTGACTCTAAGGGACCTGAGCATCTGTGGATTTGGGGACCCCTGGGGTCCTGAAACCGACCCCCCTCAGATACCAAGGGACGACTGCAGCTAAGTTTTTGGAGCAGAGTTTGATTTAAGGGGCAGCGAGCTGAAGGAAGATGCTCCTGCACCCCATTGCACCCCGCACCCCCTCAGACACAGGTGTCTCGGGCCGGAGCCCTCCAGGCCAAGACTCAGAAACTGCTGCTGGGAAATGGCGGCCACGGTGCAGGTGAGATCCGCGCTCAGGTGTCTGGGGGAAATTTTTTTTCTTCCTCAACACGAATCCGTGCGGACCCTCCTGGAGAGGGTGGGTGCCAACCCCACATGCTGAGTGAGCTTCGTCCCCATCGCCTGGAATCTTTGCAAGGTTTTAACTCTTGTTGCCTCCATCTAATTCAAACCCACTTTTCTGACTGACGTGGCTCTCGCCCCTCGCGCGGGGCCTCTGACGTGCTCTGGGCGCGCCCAGCACCGCGGCGCCTCGAGAGGGAGCACCGGCCTCCATTCTGATGACTAAATGGAGTCGGCTCCTGCCACCCGAGCTCCCACTCGTCTCATGAATAAATTTCAAGCACTCCTGGAGAGGACGCTCATGACGTGACGCCAGCGGTTCAACGCGAGGCAGGTACGAGCGTCTCAGGCCGCGGCCGCCTGAGCAAGGGAAGGACAGAGGTGCAGGTGATGTGGCTAAGACCGGTCACGTATTGCGGGCAGCACACATGTGCTAGGCCCATCCCGAGTGTGTGTGTGTGTGTGTGTGTGTGTGTGTGCGGGGGGGTGGTTATTTTTTGCAAATGGCCTAAGTCACTTTGCTGATGAAAGGACTTGCAAGCTGGTTTT